GATAATTTTTTTTTTAATATTTACCTGGAGTTTTCCTAACCGTCGTTAATTAACTACATTTATAATAGCAAATTGTGGAGAATATTTAAATTTAACTACGATTATTTAAACTGCGAGTAAAATTCAAACTTAACCATGGTTATATAAATCATGGGAAAAAAATCGTCGAAAAAATTAATAATTCTAGTAGTGAAAGGAGAAAAGTACATTTTCATTAGCTATAGCACAAACACCAAGGCATATAAATTTTTTAATCGAGAGACAAAGAAGGTGATAATTAGCAGAGATGTGACATTCGATGAAGAAGAAATATGGGATTGGTCCTCAAAGTCCCATAAAGAGTTAGTGATAATTCCCGATGATCATGGAGAAGATGAAGGACAACTAGATCCAGCTTCAAATATGCCAGAATCATCTAGCAGACCATAAAGACAAAGAAGATTACCAGCCAAATTGGAAGATTACTTTGTTGGTGGAGACAATGATTCATTTGATAAAGAGGTTATAAATTTGCTTTGTTAGCGGATTGTGAATCATTGACATTTGAAGAAGCTGCAGAAGATCCAAATTGGATAAAGGCCATAGATGAGGAGATTCATGCTATTAAGAAGAATAAAACATGGGAGCTGACAGATTTACCTATAAATAAAAGGTCAATTGGAGTAAAGTGGGTTTATAAAATAAATTACAAGCCCAATGAAAAGATAGATCGATTTAAAGCAATATTGATTTATAAAATATAATGTTCTTTTGAGCACACGTTATATGTCAAATTTATTGATCTCGGAGAAGTACTCATTGTGTGTCTTTATGTTGATGATATAATTTTTACTGTCAACAATTCAAAGATAATTGCAAAATTCAGGGAGGCTATGATAAGATGTTTTGAGATGATAGATTTGGGCTTAATGTCCTATTTTCTCGGCATTTAAGTCATTTAGAAAAATAAATTTTCAAAAGAAATATGTTGTTGATATTTTGAAGAAATTCAGAATGGAGAACTCAAAACCAGTTTTTACACCAGTAGAAGAAAAGTTGAAGCTAACAAATAAAATTGGAGGCAAGAAATTGATTCAACCTACTATAAGAGTTTGATTGGAAGTCTAAGATATTCGACTGCAACCAGATTATATATAATTTTTGGAGTTGGATTACTTAGTAGATTTATGGAAGAGCCACGTGATTTTCATTTGCAAGGAGCAAAGAAAATTTTACGATATGTTAAAGGTACTATAACTGATAGAATATTTTATGCCAATAATAGTAACGTGCAACTTGTTGACCATACAGACAGTAATTAGATAGGAGATATGGAGACAAGAAAAAGTACATCAAGAAACGTGTTTCATCTTGGTAGTAGCGTAATATCATGGTCTTCAAAGAAACAACTAGTGGTTGCACTCTCAATAGTTGAAGCAGAATACATAACAACAACTAGTTGTGCTACATAGATAGTATGGTTAAGAAGAATTCTTGAAGTGATGCATGAAAAGCATAATAATCCTATAGAAATTTTTTGTGATAACAAGTTTGCAATTGTATTATGTAAAAATTCAGTTTTTCTTGACGATCCAAGTATATTGATATTCGATTTCACAAGATTCGAGAGTTAGTAGTTGAAAAAGAAATGATGATTAAGTATTGTCCCACTAAAGATCAAATTATAGATATTTTTACGAAACATTTGAAGGCTGAGCTATTTTACAAGTTGAAAAAATTGCTTAGAATGATCAATTCTACAAACTTGGTTTAAGGGGAAATATGTTAGAAAATAAACCAAGTTTAGTTTATAACAACTCAACATTACTTATCAAATAATTACAAGGTTAAGAAATTCAAGTTGAACACAAAAGCTTGACATGTAAATATTCATAAAGTTTTTAGAAGATAAAAGATGGTCAAATATTGTGGCTCTAATTAGCAAGTGTTTAATTTCAAATTGAATTTTGTATAACCAAGTTCCTTGTCTAACTTAACTTTTACCATGTATACTTGGTAATTAAGTTATGTAATTTTATGTATTATTTTAATCATTTAGTTTGGCTATATAAAGAGCATAGTATATGGATTGTGATGTAGTGAAAAAATTAAATGAATGAAATCTTGAGTATTTGTGAATTTGTGATATCAAACACTTGAAAAAGTAAGGATATTTATGTAACTAAAAAATGTTGTTTTCTTACTTTATTGACATTCATGCCAAGATTAAAAATTTGGTGGGACTTATACTCTTCTTTTCTTTCATTCAAGTTTCTTGTCAAAACAAAATATTAGAGAGTTGTTTTCTTGTTAATCTTTTGCTCATCATTTTCATTCTCAACAATTTCACATAAACAAAACAAAATATTATACAAACAGCCGCTTACACACATCATACAAGTTACCATTAAGAAATTTCGAGACTCTTCAATGGAACATTCATTCCCACTCTCCTTCCCGTTTCCCCTCCGTGAAGATTACTTGATTATCATTTTATTAGTGAGACCTCTAAGCAATTGCACTACAGAAGAGCCAAGTAAAAGAAATGCTAACACATTTGCATAAACCAAGCTGATTTACTATATTGCACCATTAAAGATTCATTCAATAATACTCATTAGCTTAATTTGCCCATGTCCAGAATTGATTGGCATAGCCCATATACTAGGCCTTTCCACCAATAGATATATTTCTTTCGATAAATGTTTTAGTAAAGGAATTGTGTTTCTGCTATATAAAGGGGTATGATAAATTGATAAGATATTCGTGCCCCACTCTATTATTTCCAACTTTTTGTTTAATGAATGAGAATGCTTGCTTCTTTGACCTGTTCACTACATACAGGAGCTCCAAACTATTATCTTCTTCACTACCAACATGAAAATCTATTCACTACTTTTTTTTTCTCAGCAATTTAAGATTTCCTTGTAAACATCAAGGGCGGGACCAAAGATTTAAACGTAGATAATTGTATGAAATAAAAGTCAAAATAATAGACATAAAGGTAAGAGATTAAGTATATAATTTTTTTTTATGAAAATTGGAGTGCTTATTTCCTTATATCTATCCGTGTGCCTTCCTCTTTATTAGAAAAGAAAAACATATAATCAACAAGTTAATGGATAAGAGGGTTTAAGAAAGACGTATGTGTGTGTGTGAATTTTTTTTTTCAGGAAAAAAACTAAGCCACTGTCAAATACAATAAATTTCATTAAATAAATAGGGTGTGGACACAACTTAATGACAAAACACAATTGATCAAATTATATGTATAATCATACGAAACAAAAATGTAATCACTAACGTATAAACACTACTTGTACAAAAATTTTGGTTATACTGTGAAGATTATGAATAAAATGTTTGGTCAGTGAGTGCCTATCCCGGGCATAACATGCGAGATGAAACAAACGAAAATTATGGAGTAGTTGTGAAGTCAATTCTTTCCACAATAAAAAAATGTTATCCAACTCGCATAGGATAAAGAATTGGAGCATGTTAATTTAATTGAAGTGCCTTTTTGTTTTTATTGTCACTTAAATTTGAACTTTTTATATAAATAATTTTATAATTGATGTGATTATAAAAGAGAAATAATGGTATTTCAGATAAAATATTTCATAATTATAGGTGGATAAATAGTACTTGAATGATTCATTTCACAATCATTGATGGATGAATGAACATTAATTTGGTACTATCTGAACCCTAACTAGTAATGAATAATTAAAATGTCAATTCAAGTCTAATATGCATTAATACACGATTCAGTGGATTGACCTGTCAGTCTGTTTGTAAATTTGTATGTTTCTCAATGAATTACTTAAAATGTTAGGTTTTATTTAAATGTTTATGTTATCAAAATTATTTAGGACTGTTTAAGAAGAGCAATTAAAAAAAGAAAGAATTTAAAATAAAAAATTGGAAAAAATATACCAGTCAAGTGATAGAATAAATAATAGAGCTACTTGTAGTTGCATTCCATAATTAAACATACTTACAAAATAATTAAACTAACACGCGTGTTTACGAGTTAAGTATGTACGCTCTCTCAGGCTAAACGCGTCAAAGAACTCCATTCACGTTTTCCAGCGCGAAAACACCGTTTAATTTTCACGGCTTCGAACACTATTGATCATACTTTTCAATTCACTGTATTTTCTTCATATCGTCCTTCGGGATGATCATGGATCGAATTGATTTAAATACAATTTTAAATTCAACATGATTAAAAGAAATTTTGAATTAAACTGAATGTTTAATCTTTATAATTTTATTTTTAAATTAATTAAAAGATAATAAATAAATTATTTTATTATTTTTATGCACTATTTGAATTAAAGTTTCTTTACACACACACACACACACACACACACACACACATATATATATATATATATATATATATATATATATATATATATTATAAGTTAATCCAAAACAAAAAAAATCATAAACATTTTGAAATAATAAAATGTAAATTTAAAAATAAGATTATTAAAAAACAAGTGTTATAATTTTATGAATACATAATATAGTATCAGTGAAAAATTAATTCTATAAATGAATAACATACACACACAAATTCGATTAGAGTGAGATTAAATTAGTTTTTAAAAGTGAATCCAAAAAATTCAATCCAAAAATTTTGTTTTTTTTATTTATTTATAGTTAATTCAATTTTTTATTTTCAATTTGATGTATGCGATTTATATATTAGGTTAGATTGGTTTGTCAACACTGTCAACCCATTCTCATAAACAAACATGTTGAATTTATTATGCATGATTATATTTAAATTTAAACAAAATATAAAAGGTTTCCTTAATAAATAAATAATATATATTATTTTTAATTTATCATAATAATTTTATAATTAAATTTATAAAAAAAATTATTATATAAATTTTTAACTAAAATATATATCAAAACACAATAAAAAACATATAATAATAATAAGTTGGCTTTATTTCATTTACTTTTATCTATGTATATATATTATCCTTTTGCAGATGATTCCCTTATTCATTGAGTCTAATGGCCCCTCCTCAAATAAAGAGTAGTTGATAAGAAAGTGTCTGGCTCGCCCATTGGCCATTTCAGTTGAATTCGATTCACAGTTCAATCATCTGCGATTCTAAAGTCTTCAACAAGATGCAGCTCCAAGGTACTTAAGCCTATGTTTATATAAATAAATAAATATTATTTATATAAAGACACAAACACTCTTTCTTTCTTTTTTCAGATGGTTCTGTTAGTAATAAAGTTATCAGCTTCACACACGTCTTGGCATCCTTCGCCGGAATATTTGCGGAGAAGTCAAGGGTTGTTACTGTTAGAGACCAGAAAATCGTTCCCATCATAGATACCACTGGTTCTGGTCGTGTTGTAAGGCTTGAGAAGTTCTCTCACTATGTTGGTAAGTTTGTCTAACTCTTAATTTCTCAGCTAAACCAATACACAAACCAAGATTAGTGGATGCACTCTCTCACACACACAGACCCATGCCTATGCTGGTAAAAGCTAAGAGCAAGAAGTGATCAAAATTATTTGTTTGAAAGCGGAATGAACCACTGTTTCCCACTGTCCCCAAAATTATTGCATGATCTTTCCACGGACACAGTTCAATAATAACCAAAGACGAACGAAGAAGTAAAAAATAAATAAATTAATTAATGAAAAAGTGCGTGTAATATATAAGTATTTAAATGACTGAATACTCTCAGTATATGCATTGAATTTAACTACTAAACAAATACCTAGGATGGGTGACTTAAGTAGGAAACAATTGTAGAGCACATACAGCAGTTTCACTTCAAAAAGTAAATGTAGAAAAGATAATAATAATAATAATAAGACGAAAAAATATTTAACTAAACAGTGTTATATAATTGTTTAATTTTTTAAAATACATACATAACCAGTCAAATTAGTGTTCATTTTACAACCACTCTTTCATTATCGGCTTTACAGGAAAAAGAAGAGTGGCCCATATGTTTTGTAAGGTGGTCATGGACGGATTTATCTATGGAAGAATATATTATTATATCTCCCGTCTCTTGACTCTCTTCAATGGGACATTAATGTTCCATGTGATTACAAAACTAGAAAAATGAATTGCAGTTAAAACTTTGTCAGTATTTTTACACCCACTTGAAATTCTGAATTTTACTTTGACTTTTCTTCCTATGGATAATGTTTTTTTGTTGAAAGGAGTTGTTAATGTGATAGTGAACAGTTCAACCTGAATCAAGATTTGGTATGGTCAAAATTTGCTGCAGTCATCAAATTAGAATGGTCGAGATTATGAGTAGATGTTTTAAATGATATATAGAGGAATTCGGATGAATCTGAAGCATTTGATTAATTTGAATAATCCAATTTTGATCCAGTATTTTTGATTTGATTTGATTTGATTGACCATTGTTTGAGCCATTCAATCTTTGGATTGTGAAGTTATTTAATAAGAGATTTATGTTTTTTTATTTATTTATAATAATATAAAAGAAAACATAGATACAGTGTACCCCTTTGTTGAATGGTGAATGGGTGTGTGTCATTGTAGGTAGGCAAATGGGATTCGAAGATTGCAGCGAGGTTCCAGAGCTGTGTAGATTGGCACACGACTATTTAAGAAAACCCAAAGAGTGTGAGGAGAGCATCTTTGAATATCTTGCCAATGAAACGGACCCTAATTTGTACGGGAAATTGATTGATGAGTTTGACCGATGCATCCTCAGTTATTTCGCATTTCATTGGAACCAAGCCTCTTGTATGATTAGCCAGGTATCTTAATTTACTCTCTCTCTCTCTCTCTCTCTCTCTCTCTCTCTCTCTCTCTCTTTTTTAATTCAATTCAATTATTGTTCTCATTACTAGTGATATTTACTTTTAGGGATTCTCACACCTAATGGATATTTATATACTCACATCTAAAATTATTATTCGAATTTTAGTTAAACTTATATTATGTTCTTTTTTTTTTTTTTCCAAAAACAAGAAAAATAAATATCTTATTTTAATACTTAAAAATGACAAATGAATAAAAAATGTATTAATTCAAAACACAATTTTTAACCTAAATTAAGAATGTTAATTCTTATATATATATATATATATATATATATATATATATATATATATATATATAACACCCACTACCGCCCACACAACGATTAAGTGTAATTTTATAATAATATAAATATTAAATACAACATAATTGAAAAGGTTTGACTTTGTGAATTTGCAAAGTTTTGATAAATGTAATGTGCTTGTAATATTTGTATAAAAAAGGTAAATATATTTAATACTTTTTTCATTTAGTTATAAGATAATTAGTAAAATGATATAGTATAAAGATTTAAAATTATTCAAATATAAATATGTAAGAATATTATTTTTATTAATTATAGTTACTATCTATTTGTTTTAAAATATCATTTATTTTTAAAATAAATCTCATTTTAATTATAAAATAAAAATGTTTAATATTTTAATTTTATTCTTTTACTTTCTATATTTTCACTAAATAAAATATTAAAATCATGATAGAATAATTTAGTTCAATATAAGTATATTTAAAATTTTAAAATATTAAATAAATTTTATTAACGCTTATATAAACACGTCAAAAGACTACATTTTAAAGTGGATTTAGTAAATTTATATATATTTAATTATTAACCCATCTTAACCTACACTCAACAAAAATATTTTGAATAAAATATGACTTTAATATTTTTAAAATTTAAATTTATAATGATTAAAATTAATAATTAAAAAAAAAGACTGAAGTTAATATAATAAGTAAAAATGTATTCAAGTAAGACATTTTTCATTGAATTATAGTGCATTCTTGAGTACAATTGGGAAGGGAATATATTAAGATGATAATAAATATTACTACATTAATTGGATTTATCTACGTACTCTATGTTTTCCTTTCTTCTAGTCATACTTTTGTTTGTTTAATTCAAATAGATTATTACGTCTTTTTATGAAAGATATATATTTAGGCTTTGCTTGTCTAAATTATAGGTATTGAGTGTCGAGTCACCGCAGAAAATAGAGCTCAGAAAGATTTTATTGGCAGCTACAAGGTCGACTCCTCTATTAATCCCCATTTTCTTTAAAATAACTTTTCTCATTATATAAGATAAGTATTTTTTTTTTTAATTAACATTTCTAACCTACATTGTTGTATAAGGAAATGCAACATCATTATATAGTAAAATTTCACAGAGAAAGTTATTGTTATTATAAGTTTATGTAAATTGATATTTTGACGATTTAGACCAAATCAGTCGGAAGTAAAGATAGTGCTATGTGTATAGGGAACAGAGGTTTAAGAAAGTAACCGAGAATCTGAAGGTGGCAAGAGTGTTTTCTACATTGGTGGAAGAGATGAAAGCAATAAAGGGTGACTCGCAACGTATGGATGACACTGTCCCCGTTGCCCATAGTGAGAGGAGTCCAGTGCTGCTGCTTATGGGTGGTGGCATGGGAGCTGGAAAAAGCACAATTCTTAAAGACATTCTTAAAGAGTAATCATCATCTTAACTCTACTCTTGCATTATTATCAATGTTCAAATCTAATAGTCGTGCAAAAAGTCTTATGCAAATGATATTGAAATAAATTATGTACCTAAAGTGAAAAAAAAGATGTTAATTATACGGATGTTTGGTTCTCGTTCTGATCATCGATATGGTTCCACATGACAAGACTAATTTTAATTAAATTCACAATTCTATATGTAGTTGTACAAATACTTTATTTTGTAGATTTGAGTAGATTGTTTATATGTATCAAATGGGTTTGGCAGATCATTTTGGTCAGGAGCACCTTCAAATCCTGTGCTGGTAGAGGCAGATGCTTTTAAGGAGAGTGACGTCATATATAGAGCCCTTAACTCTAGGGGTCACCATCACGACATGCTTCAAACTGCTGAACTGGTATGCTTCTGTGGGAACACCTCCATGTTATTGTTGTCAATTTTCCTCTAAACTTTTTACTATTTGTATGTGCAGCATGTGCCAAATTATAAAGAAATCCGAAATAAATTTAATCATTACACATGAACTTCCTTTTGTAAATAAGCAATGACCAAAAGGATACATCCTTATAAGCTATTTAATGATTGCATTAAATTTATCAAAATCTGAACAGGTGCATCAATCTTCCACTGATGCTGCATCATCTCTGCTAGTGACAGCTCTAAATGAGGGTCGAGATGTGATCATGGATGGTACCTTATCATGGGAACCTTTTGTGGAGCAGACAATTGCTATGGCAAGAAATGTTCACAAGCATAGGTACCGAATGGGGGTAGGGTATAAAGTAACCGACGATGGGACAGTTATTGAAGATTACTGGGAGCAAGTAATAGAGCCAGAAAAGGAACATCAATCAGAGGAAAATGGTAATGAAGAACCACAAACTCGAAAGCCTTACAGAATTGAGCTAGTTGGTGTGGTTTGTGATGGCTATCTTGCAGTTGTTAGAGGCATTAGGTATATATTCTTGTGAATTAAGCTACTCTGGTAATGGGTTTTGTGTAAATGATAGTTAATATTTCCATTTGGAATTTTGACAGGAGAGCTATTATGACAGGGAGGGCAGTGAGGGTGAATTCACAATTGAAATCTCACAAAAGATTTGCTGATGCATTTCCAAGATATTGCAAACTTGTTGATAATGCCAGGCTCTATTGCACAAATGCTGTTGGTGGTCCACCAAAGGTAATACAAACATTTTTGTGCTCACTTGTGATGACAAAGATTGATTTTACACTTTATTATTAGTATTAATTTAATCTGTCAAAAGGGTAACTAGCTTGCAATAAACTACAGCTTATATGGTGGAAAGATGATGATCACAATCTACCAATGGATCCCGAAGGTATCAAAAGCTTGGAAATGATAGGTAGTGTGAATGCTGAAGCTGATTCCATCTACGAACTTTACAAGGAACCCAGCCCTATGGGACCTGGTTCTGTTTGGAATGACATTGTTCTTTCACCTCTAAGGTCTAATAATCAAAAGGAATTAAGGGAATCCATCAAGAAAATAGAAAAATCCATCAGAAAACGGTAATATTGTTGCATGATATGTTCCTCCCGAAGCCAAGTTTTGGAGTTTCTAACAACATATTCGAGTTATCTCGTTTTGTTGTTTATCTTCTATTCCTATGGTTTACCGACGGAAGAATATGAGGAGGGAGAATGATGAGTACTGCAATGAAGTCGTTTTCTTGGCATCAACATGCAAGCCAACTGTGTCATTCACGGTTATCAAGCTTGCCCATGTACAAATGTATATGTAAATTATTGAAACGTGCTTAATTGGAGCATTTTTTAATCAAATGTGTATAATTTCTGATTGAATCAAGGATTGCCTTGTAGCCAAAACAAGAACAAAAATCCTGGCAGTAAACTCCGACATTGATGTGTGTAACTATGTTTCTGTCGTTGAAGAGGTTAAAAGTTCAATTAAGACCGTCCATGTTAGTGTCCTGAAGAAAAGATCAGAAAGGGTCCCTCAACTGTAGAGATTCATGATTTATGATGTTTTCATTACAGAATTAATCCAAATTATGAAAAAAACTCCTATTTGATCGTGTATTTAAAATATTTTTATAAGTTACAGGGATTTAAATGAGAAAAAATTTAAAATTTTCTGCAATTATGGTGATTTAAGACTGATACAACTGTGTAGCAAGTGATGCTAAAATTTCTTATCATACACACTGAATGAAACAGTGAAGATCAGAAACTGTTATAAAAAAAAAAGAGTAGATAACTAGCTCACAAGGAAAAAAAAGAGAGGAAAAATTCCGTTAAATTATTAAAAAAAGAGTTTCATCGTACTGTTTTTAAAAACAAATGTCTTAAATACTTTTCTAGAAAATATTGTATCATTTGTAAATATTGAAGTTAAGGTCGTAAAAAGCAAAACATCTTGAAATTATTCAATATTTTGCGTATAATTGATGAACACAGAGAAAAACTAGATATAAATATTAAATGTGATAGCAGTCTGTAGGAAAAGCAAGCCTGGTAGCTATTTCATCGTTACAAATTACTCGGATAAGATGCAACCATTGGCAAGCTTACCTTCAGAAGGTTTTGGAAGGGTCGAAAGTTTCATTTTAAAGAGACTCAATTTAGATGAAAAGTGAAATAGGATTAAAAAAATCAAATATTTTTAAAATTTTTAAATGAATAAAAATAATTAAATAAATTCAAAAATATAATTTTTTTTATTTTCATATATTTTCTTAAAATGTTTTTCTTTTTTTATATCATATAAATATCTTTTAATAATTTAATTAATAAAACGAATTTAAAATTCCCTGCTCCCCTCCTCATATCCCTCGTTGCCACCTCCCATACTTCTTTTAAAATAAGTTTTTTGTTTTTACAAAACTCACAAAAAATTTTTTTTTTTCTCTTCTCTCTCCCAGCCAAATAAAGGAATTAACTTTTCTTTTCCTTATTTCCCTTTTTTTTTTCCCTTCATTTTCACTGCATTTAAACACAGTGGAATAGATTGACTTATGTGATTCAGTCATAGAAAAAAGTTGATAGAATATCATTTAAGATCCTAGTTATTGTCACCATTTTTAAAAAAAATCATAAGCCCTTTTATTTAGATAATATTATTCAAATTAATAAAATTAATAATCGAAAATAAAAATTTTCCTCTAGAATATTAAACAAAATTAGATACTAAGACTAAGATAAAATTATTAAATAAAATTTTTCTTTTTTCAAAATATTTAATATATTATATACTTATGATTCGAACATAAAATTATTAAATAAATTATAATAATCTCATGACAATTAATATATGTACTGGACGATAAGATTACTGTGAATAGGAAAGATAAGTTTTTAAGACTTTTTTATTTGTTTCTTTTCTGATATACTATCTTATCATATATTTTTATTATATAAAATTTTTATAAATACACATTAAATACAATTTTTTTAAGCAATTTAAGATGTTGTACACTTTTTTTCTCCTCTTTTGTACTTCAAAGTTGTGACTTAAGCACAGAGGATGTAATTATCTACATGGTTTAATAAAGTACTTTTTTAATAAGTTAATTGTTATTGCATGAAAGTTTATAATATAAATTTAATTATAAAATTAATTTTAAAAATTTAATGATTTATTTTAATAAATTATATTATAACATTTATTAAGATAAAATAATTTTTTTCATAAAAATTATAAGATATTTTCGTAAAGTCTTCATAAATTAAATGTAATAAAATCTCCTTATGGATTCTCAACTTAAGATTCAATATGTCTTTATGGAGCATTCTATTTGCTACAAAAATGGGTGACAAACAATTGAACCAAAATATTCATATGTACACTCTTTATTTATTTATTTTCTATATTTTTTAATCACCTTACTTGTTACATTTTTTTAAATTTTTTTCTTACTTCTTTCTATTTCTCAAGGTGCGAGTGAGTGTATGATAGAATATGAACGCATTCACTGTTAGAAAACCTGTAAATATAGACAGATTTATAGACAGATTTTTCAATTATTACAAAAAAATTTTAGTATTATAGATGAATTTACAGACGGTTCTAGTTCATTTGTAATATACGCATCAGTAAATAATTACATATGAATTTTTGAATTCATCTCTATGTTACAGATAGAAAAATTTATCTGTAAATTACAGATTAAAAAATCTATCTGTAATTATAGACGAAAAAATCCATCTATAATTACAGACAAAAAATTTATTTGTAAATTAGAGACAAAAAAATTCGTCTGTAATCCATTTGTGAAATTTAAAAAAAAAATTATTATTTTTATATATATAATTATTCTTCGCTGTTCCTAATTATCACAAATTATAAACATAATAAAAACTACAAAATTATATTTTTAAAATTAGAACTTATTTATAAAATATAAAATTAAAATGTCATTACAAATGAAGAAGTAAACATCTCAATAAATAATGTCAAAAATAGAATAACATTGTATATCACTAATAATTGATGTAATCATTTTCTAAAAAAGTATTGTAGAGGAGAAGTCTGAGGAAGAATGACGCATGAAGCTAAAGATTGGTAGTGTTGGAGTTGGTGGAGGAAGAGGTGTGAAACTGCTTGCTCTCATAAATTCAAAGTATACATGCATTTGCTACATCTGCATATGTTGCTGCTGCACCTCCCTCTGCATCCTCGAGCCCACCTTCTTCTCTATCTTCTTCTCCATTTTCTTCGCCTACTTCTGCTTTCATGCACTTTCCTTGGTTTTTTACATCTCCTCATTTTGCTTCTACAATTTTACAATTTTTTATTGAGGGCATGGACCTAAGTGCAGACCATGTCCTCCACTTTCCTAGATGCAAGAGAAGAAGCATCTTTGGTGACAGATGCAGGAGACATGGAATCTGCAAAGCGGCTCCTCATGCCATAAATGCGGCCTTTATAAAGACTATCCACCGTCTTTGACCATATAATATCATCATCAACATATAGTGTCAATAAGGATGACTTACATATGTGGCCTATGTGACACCCTTACTACTTATTATGCCATCAATATAAATATAATATTAAAATAATCCAAGCAGTAAGAAAGTCATATGTATGAGTTTACATTTGTTCACATTAATAGAAACTAAATACACCATCTGCATCAGTTATCCAAATACGTATATAGCAATCATCTGTCAAAATATACAGTCATCCAGTCATATAAACATATACACATAGCTGATTTACATACAAAATAAAGTGGGGTCACGATATCAGAGACAACAACAACAAAAATGACCTCACAAGCTTTTCCCCTAGACCCATGATTATCAAAAATACCATTTCCTCCAAAAGTTAACAGTACTCTAGGAGTAAATGGAAAAGTGAGTCTCATGGGTACCTTGATGGGGATGGGGTATGCCCGTGGGCCTGTTCCATTTCTATCTAACAAAAAGGTAATAGTGCCAGTATGGGTGGACTGTTGTCGTTCCCAATCGTGCGCCCATCTTCTTTCAGGATCATATCTGACTGTGACGCTGAACTGGTATGGTAGTCAGGCCATTTGTGTCCTAACCTACTAAACATATTCACATACAACACACATATATGCTAAAAGGGTGAGACAAACCCATTTCAACCAAAGTACAGTAGAAAACACGTCAAGATATTTGCAATCATTATAGCAATTAGCAACAACTCAACACACAATGTACATGCCATGTATGATTCTGTGCATCACCTAGTTAATTGCTATACTGACACATGCATGTGGGCCCAAACCATTTTCTTTTTCTTTTTTTCTCTTTCTTTCCTTCTGGGAAGGATCAGGAGTTCACTGTCACCAATCATTCTTGGTCATAACCATCTCATTAGATAGTTTCAAAGATATAGCTCAACTGATTCTGATAATCCATCGGGTTCTGTCAGGATAGTCCAGTTTTGCAGTGAGAACCAACAGCACATGGTTGCGAGCCCTGGCCTTTGCCCGGCTCAATCACACCCAACTATCCCCAAGACTAACCTGGAGTCTCTCCTAGATTTCGTATACTTCCCATCCAACACCATCATCATTACATGCTTATGATGCATGAACCTAATTTCAGTCTTTTAATTAGGTATTAAACATTTCTTTTTAATCAACAACATATATTTCAAAATTTTACCGACAATCCGGCAGAGTTTCCTCTATAATTCAGATATTTCTAAATTTTCTTCTCTCTGCAAAACAGCCAGAAAATTCCAATACACTTCGAATTTTAAACAGAGCCTCACTACCACCACATTTTACAACTTTTCTTTCATTTCAATGGCTCTCAAATACCTTTTTCCAATTATCACCACATTTCAAAATACCCATTTAAAACAATTCTTTAAAATGAATTAAAATCCTTTAAATTATTTAAATATGTATATAGGTATATTTTAAATATATAAAAACTATTAAATAAATTTTGATCAAACCACTTGAAATTAAAGAAGATTTTTTTTTAATATCTTTATTTTGTAATTCTCCAATTCTTTTCAACTTTCAACAGACCTTCTATATGCTCACTCCACATGAATGATAGTTCATTCCTCAAGTATTTTAGGTAATCAATTATTTATACTGAATTCAACAAACAATTATCATAGGAACATCATCACACATAAAATCAATTTCAAAAAGGAATATCAAACAATTGTACACTAAGTATGAAAATAATTATAAATTCCTTCAAATAATTCATATATACATAGCAAAGAATAAAACACTCATTTCTCAACATTTTTCTACTATACCCGTGAAAATAGATATGTCCCCCCTTACCTTGAAGTGTATATCGATTTTTTTCTCACCAACGACTTCTTTCCACCACTTCTCAAACCACGATCCTTTGCGATGACTGGGGAGGAGGCATCTCAGTCTGACACCATGATACAGGGTAAATGTTTCATAAATGGGAACACTTTGAATGTATTGTATGATTCAGGAGCTTCTCACTCTTTTATTTCTGAAGTTTGTGTGAGACAGTTGAATTTACCTGTTACTATTTTGCCATATGATTTGATTATTTCTACTCCTGGTAGTAATTCTATTATTACTGCTAGGGTTTGTTTGAATTGTCCCATAATAGTAGAAAACAAAGACCTCTTTGTAAACTTGTTTTGTTTACCCCTTACTGACTTAGAAGTCATTCTAGGACTAGATTGGTTGTCTTCCAATCATGTTCTATTAGACTGCCATAACAAAACCATAGTCTTTGCTAATCCTGTTAAATCATCTCCTGAGAATTTGAGATTTCTATCTGCCAACCAAGTCAATGCTTCTTTGAAAGAAGGAGCTCAGATATGTATAATGTTACTTTCCTTAAAAGGGGAAAAGGAATTTACGATAGAGAACTTGCCGATTGTTTGTGAATTTCCTGAAGTTTTTCCAGAGGATATTCCTGGGTTACCTCCAGAAAGGGAAGTAGAGTTTACTATAGATTTAACCCCTGGAACTGGACCAATCTCTATAGCACCTTATCGGATGTCACCTTTGGAACTAGTTGAATTGAAAAAGCAACTGGAAGAGTTATTAGAGAAACAGTTTGTGCGTCCAAGTGTATCCCCTTGGGGTGCTCCGGTGTTATTAGTTAAGAAGAAAGATGGAACGACGAGGTTATGTGTGGACTATCGTCAATTGAATAAAGTGACTATTAAGAACAAGTATCCACTACCAAGAATAGATGATTTGATGGATCAATTACGAGGAGCAACAGTTTTCTCTAAAGTTGATTTGAAGTCTGGTTACCATCAGATCAGAGTGAAAAAAGAAGATATTCCAAAAACTGCTTTTAGAACACGCTATGGCCATTATGAATACCTAGTGATGCCATTTGGTGTAACTAACGCACCTGCAGTGTTTATGGATTACATGAACCGAATTTTTCATCCGTATTTGGATAAGTTTGTAGTTGTTTTTATTGATGATATTCTAATATATTCCAAGAATCATGAGGAGCATGCGGACCATCTTCATGTGGTATTGGAAATCTTAAGAAAGAAACAGTTATATGCCAAGCTTTCCAAGTGTGAATTTTGGTTAACAGAAGTGAGTTATTTGGGGCATGTAATCAGTAAAGATGGAATTTCTGTAGATCCTTCTAAGGTTGAAACTGTTTTACAGTGGGCTAGACCAAAAACAATTACTGAGATCCGGAGTTTCTTAGGATTGGCAGGTTATTATCGAAGATTTATTGAAGGATTTTCAAAGTTGGCATTGCCTTTGACTACATTGACTCGCAAAGGACAACCGTTTGTGTGGACAAGTCAGTGCGAAGATAATTTCCAAGAATTGAAGAATAGATTGACTTTTGCTCCTATATTAATACTTCCAAACCCTTATGAGAATTTCGAAGTTTATTGTGATGCGTCAAGGCAAGGATTAGGATGTGTGTTGATGCAGAATAGGAATGTAGTAGCTTATGCTTCAAGGCAATTGAGACCACATGAGGTGAATTATCCTACGCATGCTATTTCTTTGATATATAACTGGGCCAACTTTTCTAATGAATAACCAACATTAATGGGTAGAAAATGGGCAGACTTGGTCAGTCTGTCAATAATTACCCATATCGCATTATGACTTGCAGATGTTCTCGGCAATCCACTCACAAAATCCATTGCAATACTGTCCCATTTCCATTCGGGAATATCCAAAGATTGCAACATCCCAGAGGGTCTCTGATGTTCAACTTTCGCCTTTTGACATACCAAGCAGGATGCCACATATTCTGCTATGGCTTTTTTCATTCCAGGCCACCAAAATAATTCCTTCAAATCTTGGTACATCTTAGTGGTACTTGGGTGAATGCTTAATTTACTTTTATGGACTTCTTCCAAAATCATCTTCTGAAGTTCTTCATTTTGTGGAATACAGATTCTTCTTCGAAATCTCAAAATTCCATCAGTACCTTCCTGAAAATCTTTTTCTTTGCCTTGAATCATTAATGCTTTCTTCTCTTGTATGATTGCATTTTCTTGCTGAGCTATGCGAATCTGTTCTAAAAATTCACTAGTGACCTTCAATATTCCAAATTTAAGACTTTTTGAAGTAAGTTCCATGGCCATATTTAAATTTCTAATCTGCTCCACCAATTCCAATTCCCGAATCATCATAGTTGACACTTGTAAAGATTTTCTGCTTAATGCATTTGCTACAACATTTGCTTTTCCAGGATGGTATTGAAGTTCAAAGTCATAATCTTTTAAGAATTCAATCCATCGACGCTGCCTCATATTCAATTCCTTCTGGTCAAACAAATACTTGAGACTCTTATGGTCACTAAAAACCTCAAATTTAGCACCATACAAATAATGTCTCCAAATCTTCAATGCAAAAACTACAGCAGCAAGCTCTAGATCATGCGTAGGATAATTCACCTCATGTGGTCTCAATTGCCTTGAAGCATAAGCTACTACATTCCTATTCTGCATCAACGCCTCCTCCCCAGTCATCGCAAAAACTCTCCCTTGAGTTTGTGGCCTTCCAACTTGATGGTTGTTCTTATTTTTGCTACCACCAGCTTGACTGTTCTGGTTGTTGTTCTCTCGCTTCATCTCAAGACAATCACGAATGAAATGACCTTGCTTTCCACATCTAAAGCAAACATAGTTCTTTTGTGTACACTCTTGAGCAAAATGTGGTCCTCCACAAATAAAGCACCGAGTACCACTATTACCAACTCTATTGGAACTCCCGACAAAGTCTTGAAACCTTCTACCCCCTGACTAAGATCCTTGATACCTCTGTGATACTTGATAGGGTTTCCCTCTCCCTTGAGCATCTCTTCTTCTATTAGGATAATTCTGCTGTAGACCAGAACTCTTCCACTGAGCCTGTTTTGCCTTCGCATCATCTTCATAAATCCGACATCTATTCACCAGAGTAGGAAAATGAATAATTTCTTGATAGCCAATTGCAAGCTTAATGTCTGGACGTAACCCGTTCTCAAACTTAGTGCATCTAGAACGATCATCTCCATTATTATTAAAGTAAGGGCAGAACTTCGACAGCTCATCGAACTTTGCAGCATACTCTCCTATAGTCATACTTCCCTGCTTCAAGTTCAGAAATTCAACCTCTTTCCTCCTTCTTAAATCTTCTGGAAAATATTTCTCCAGGAAACAACGCTTAAACGATTCCCAATTAATCTCCCTGCCTTCAGCTTCTATTTGCTGACGAGCATATCTCCACCAGTGTTCTGCCTCACCAACCAACATATATGTTGCAAAAGTAACCTTGCTTGCCTCAGGGCATTCCATAACAGCAAAAATCTTCTCAAGCTCCTCAATCCACAGTTGAGCACCATCTGGATCAAAACCTCCTGTGAACTGCGAGGGGTTATTCTTACGAAAGGCCTCCAATCCATGATACCCAACTGGTTCAGTCTGCCTTTCTAGAACTCCCACCATTCGTTCTAATAATTGGTTCAAGATAGCATTACCTCTTCCTCGTCCAGCCATAGTTTTCTGTACACGCATATAATCAATTAATATCTTATACGTGAAGTAAAACTGAACAAACTAGGAATTACTCCACGCCCTAAATCTCATATCACCACTTTCTTTCGAAAATAGTAACATAAGAGCACACAGCAAGCATGACAAGCCTTTCCCCAGGCCTATAGGAACAAACTGCTCTGATACCACTAAATGTGACACACTTACTACTTATTATGCCATCAATATAAATATAATATTAAAATAATTCAAGCAATAAGAAAGCCACATGTATGAGTTTACATTTGTTCACATTAATAGAAACTAAATACACCATCTGCATCAGTTATCCAAATACGTATATAGCAATCATCTGTCAAAATATACAGTCATCCAGTCATATAAACATATACACATAGCTGATTTACATACAAAATAAAGTGGGGTCACGATATCAGAGACAACAACAACAAAAATGACCTCACAAGCTTTTCCCCTAGACCCATGATTATCAAAAATACCATTTCCTCCAAAAGTTAACAGTACTCTAGGAGTAAATGGAAAAGTGAGTCTCATGGGTACCCTGATGGGGATGGGGTATGCCCGTGGGCCTATTCCATTTTTATCTAACAAAAAGGTAATAGTGCCAGTATGGGTGGACTGTTGTCGTTCCCAATCGTGCGCCCATCTTCTTTCAGGATCATATCTGACTGTGACGCTGAACTGGTATGGTGGTCAGGCCATTTGTGTCCTCACCTACTAAACATATTCACATACAACACACATATATGCTAAAAGGGTGAGACAAACCCGTGAAAATACTGAATGATAGTTCATTCCTCAAGTATTTTAGGTAATCAATTATTTATACTGAATTCAACAAACAATTATCATAGGAACATCATCACACATAAAATCAATTTCAAAAAGGAATATCAAAAAATTGTACACTAAGTATGGAAATAATTATAAATTCCTTCAAATAATTCATATATACATAGCAAAGAATAAAACACTCATTTCTCAACATTTTTCTACTATACCCGTGAAAATAGATATGTCCCCCCCTTACCTTGAAGTGTATATCGATTTTTTTCTCACCAATGACTTCTTTCCATCACTTCTCAAACCACGATCCTAACCAAATAATCACACATAATCATGATTAATGTTAAGAGGCATTAATCACCCAACCCACTACTAGTGAGTTGAAACTATCATTTTCTAATCTTCGCAAAAATGGCTTACGGGTCTTACAATTGTTTTCTATGATGTAAATGGAATACTATAAGCCTAAAGGTGATTAAAAATAATTATTTTCCCTTCATAACACTCTTGGGACAGCACCTCTAGACCAAGGGTTTTAAACCCCCAAATGTATTTTTAACAAAACAAAAAGCACCAAAATTATTTATTATAAAATATAGAAAGATTAAGCTAATTAAAACATAATTTAGAAACAAAATTTTTGGACAAAATCTCACCCTCATGCACTGTTCCAGCACCCAAAAGAGGAAGAAAATAAAAAAATTAATCGGTTAAAAGTGTTCAAAATGATGAAAATAGATGGAATATTAAAAAAATTTAATGAACTTACTTGGAAAATCAAAAGATTAAAGCCAAAGAAGTTTCAAAGCTTTTGGAAGGAGAAGAAGAGCACTTACAGCAGCCAAGAGTGAATTGGATGAATTGGATGAATTGATGAATTGATCTTATCTTAAATAGTAAAAATAATAATATAATATTAGAATTTTCACTAATTTTTTAATAATTAATTGAAATAATTAGATAAAAATCTCAAAATTTAAAAATAATCATGAAATATATTAAACATAATTATAAAATAATTTTTGACATTATTGATCCTTTAGTTGGTGTCCAAAATTTTTACACGCAATTTCTGCTTGAGCATATAACTAATTTACATAAAATTAACCAGAAAATCCAAAAATGCTCATTAATTACAAAAAAAAATTATTTTTATATTCCAAATAATATTTATAAATAAAATATAAATTTTTATAATTTTTATTATTATTATTGTTATTTTTTTAAAATAAAATGTTATTTTTAGCATTATACAACAATTTTAACCAATACAAATTGACACTTTTTGAAACTTAAAAATTTTTAAATTAAAAATTACCAAAAATTTTTTAAAAATATACCTAACAATTTTGTCTAAAGCATCTCATGCTAATTCTATCCCAATTTTTTCTAAAAAATCAAGTACTATATATTAACTTAGAACTATATTAATAAATTAATCGTTTAGCAAAAACGAGGATGTTACAGCCTAAGATCGTGTGTCAATCCACAAGGTTTTGTCTCCCTTGTGAGTATGTGTCTCCTTGAACAGTTTTTTATGTGTAGGTAGTCTCTTCAATGACTTTTCCTACTATTTCAATTAAATCACCATATCAAATATCAATTATAGATTAAATAAAATAAACTTCAAAAGAATGGGTAAAGGAGTGTTGCAACGATCAGGATGCTGAGCAACACTTTTCTTACCTCCATATCTGAATTAAATATAATATATGTTTAGAGACCAAATACACAATGTTATATCAACCTTTTATTTTACATTACACAAATTTCTAATGTAAATTTTGACAAAATCTCTCCCTATATATGAATATTTTCTTATATTTATTTACACTTAATACAACAAATTTCTAATGTAAATTTTGATAAAATCTCTTCTAATATATGAATATTTTCTTATATTTATTTAAACTTAATACAATAAATTTTTAATGTAAATTTTGGCAGAATCTCCCTTAATATATGAATATTTTATTATATTTGTTTATATTTAATATAACAAATTTTTAATGTAAATTTTGACAGAATTTTTCTTAATATATGTAAAAAAAAATTTGTTTGTATTATAGATAGATTTACAAATAAATTTTTCTACAAAATAAGAAATTAAATATTCATCTATAAAGCATGTTTCTAATAGTGATTAATTTTATAAAAAAAAATATCAGCAAACAGAGAACAGCTCCGATTGTAGAACTTTGTTCGATCACCACAAGACACTTGCTACCTGGACTGCTCCAGCTAATCAGCGTCGTCGAGGAAGAGGTCAACTTTGGACAAAGAAATCGATACTTGAAATTGATTTTTTTTTTACCAAATTTATATAATTTTAAAATTAATTATTAAAATATTATTATTTAAAATTTAATTATCATAATAAAGTAGCTTGTTGTGTTAGAAAAACGTGAAATAAAAGCAATAGATGTCATATATCATAAAAGAGTCATCGTATTATATATCACACTATAAGTGTGGAACCCCTTCGTAATACTTAAACAATCAGTAGGGTAGAATGTATCATGTGCCAAGTGGTGACTCGTAATATAATATAGTCAAGTGGTCATAATATATTATAATGGATCACCCACTATAATATTTTATAGTGTGTCATCTCTTTATAATGTTTACACATATCACTTCTTAAAAATCAAATTCGATAGATAAATAACAATCTTAACTAATTTCTATTGAGTGAAAATGTGAGATTTAATGAAGGAAATAGGAGGCTTGTATAGCCCATAAAACTAAGTAACTAGTAACAATCCTAACTAATCTCTAACAAAATGCTCAAATCACAATGTTGCGTCATGCGAATATATTATTGTATCACATGGACTTGGATAAATAACATGGCGTACTCGTGACAAAAAAAAGAATAAAAAACTATTTTAAAACACTATTATTTTCCAGGAAAAGTTGAAAGCATGCAGTCTCTATCATTCAAATAGCGTCACAGTATGGTTTGTTTTATTCTACGGCTTTTGTACGTCATTATTACTATCACTTGTTCAGATCAGAAAGGGTTCATTTCCCGCAGAAACACATCACTCCAGCTATATCACAGAGACCACAACTATTTAATAATAGCGAGGCGAGTAAGAAATAGCAAATTTGCGAGTCTAAAAATTCAACGTTATGGATCAAGGTGATTGAGCAAAGCCACACCTGACACCCCTTTCTCTTCATTTGCATTTCTTCATTTTGGTTCATATGTATACATAAGCATATAGTATATAGATATTACAACTCTATCACTTGTTTTCAGATAGTTTCGTTGGCAAACTTGTCAAGTTCGCTCCACATCTCGCCGTCCCCTTCGCGGGTTTCATTGGCTTAGTTACCGCCTCACGTTACCGGCGGCCAGCGTCCACGGTGGTGCGAGACCAGAGGGTCAATATTCCTTACATTAGGACAGAATCTGCCCGTGGTAGAAGGATCGAAATCTTCTCACACTATGTTGGTATGCTTTTTGGGCTTTTGACTTGCTATTTCAATCCCTTTTAAGCCTCTAATATAGCCCAAAGGTTATATCTAATAAGTTGATTAAAAACTTATATCTTATTTGAAAGTTTATATTCCAAATTTTTTATTGAATTAGAGTTTTTAATAAATTTAATTTTATAATTAATTGTTGAAATATATTACATCGCTAAAAAAGAGTCAAGATTATGTTATATAAATTGTTTGAAAAAATAAAAAATAAAATAAAACTTTTAATAAGTTAGATATTAATATCAACACAGTGCATGATGTTGGGTGATGTTTTAATCTGGAGGGTGTGTTTGCAGCAAGGCAGATAGGATTTGACGATGCTAGCGAGGTTCCATATCTCTGCAAATTGGCCCAAGACTATTTGAGAAAATCCGAAGGGTGCGATGAAAGCATCTATGAGTATCTCTCCAACGCCAATGAGGATACTGATTCTCTATATGTGAAATTGGTTGATGAGTTTGAGAGATGCATTCTCAATTATTTTGCATTTCACTGGAACCAAGCTTCATCTGTCATTAGTCAGGTAGATCATTATAACCACTCATCTGTTTTTTTTATTCCCCCCAGCCACCTTTTCTTCCTAACCAATTCATCTATTTGCTTACGTTTCATTTTAATTAGTTTTCTTAGTCATTTTTATTTTTCTATCAGTATAAAAGTTTAATATATAATATTAATAATTATGTTTTAATTATACTCTTTTTTACTTAAATTTTGATTATTTTACACACTTGTTATAAGAACGTTTGATAAATTGTTAAGAGAGGATGCGTGTTGACTTTCTCAAAATTATTATCTAGTTTTTCTTTTTAACCTTTATGCCCCGTTTATAATAAAAATAAGTAATTTATTAAAAAATTGAAATTAAAGATAAACCCAATATAGTTCCTGTCTTTACGTATTTTATAATCTCAAATGCTTGGAAGTTTGGATATTTCAACTAAATATTATGGATATATTAAAGAACTTATTAATTAATCGAAAATGACGTAGAAACTAAAATATAATTTTATTACTTCCTTCTTTTCTATCGTATGTTGTTTTGAATATTTTTAAGGTAGTAGTAATAGCTACAATTGATAAATGGCTTATTAATTGAAAGAGTATATTAGAAAATTAAGAAATAGATTTAATGTTCCTTTGTTTATTTAATAATCATTTAATGCAATGACTTGCAAATTAAAAAATATAAATAATATGTTTACTTGTATTAAAATTAATTTGTTATATTCCTAATTAATATGTCATCAATTTAAAGGAAGCTTATATAGTATTGATTCAAATAATGCATTGGAAGAAGGATTCTTATGTTTTTTTTTTTTTACATCTACTTTTTATCTTCTTCTTTTTTTTCCTTTCTTTCATATCATCACATTATGTAATTTTCTTTTTTTCTTATTAGATAATCTAAACATTTTTTACTATTTTCCTTTTCTTTGTATTATTCTTTTCTTTTGAGCTATTACATATAACAATGAGGTGTGAATGATAATTATTCTTTAAAAGTGGACAGGGTACCATGCAGGAGTGGACCTGTTCCCTATATTACTATATATAATGTGCCAAAAGAAAAAAAAAAAAACTCATAATGTGAGAAGTTGAAAAAAGCTCAACCAAAGTAAAACATATAAAATGTGTATTACAGTATTGTCAAAAAATAGTATTGTATAGCTTTGAGTTAATATCGGTATAAAAATTAACTTTCATAAAAGTTGTGTATTGAGATTAACATTGACGATGACTTTAAAAATTTGATTACAGAATTCCTACATTATAAGATTAGTAGTTTCTTATTAAAGTATCTTGAGTTATAGTTAGGTATTAATCCGAGTAAGCCTAGTGTATGGAGGGTGTGTTAGAAGCTCTTAAAAAGAGGTTGGCGTTATAGAAGCATAGGTATTTATCGATTAGAAGCAAGGTGACTTTGATTAATATTGTTCTTAATTCTATGTCATTATACTCGTTATTCTTTTTTAAGGCGCCGAAGTCGATGATAAAAGAGATTGTCACTATTCAATGAAATTTTTTATGGAAAGGTGTTAAGGATAGATCTAAAATCTCTTGGTGAAATGGGAAACGATTTGTAGACTACGAAAGAATAGTGGCTTGAGCATTATGAATGTGCAGTGGTTTAATTGGGCATTTTTTGGTAAATAGTTGTGGTGATATGTTAATTGTTCTAGTTCATTGTAGGTGCAAGTATTGAAAGTTAGGTAAAATTAGCTTCTTATATTTAGCGTCCATCAGTCAACAACAGATATTCTTTGTGGTGACGTGATTTGCTAGAGGTTATTCATCAAGAAAATTCATGGCTGGATGAGAAGTTGGATAGAAGTGTGGGTGCAGGTTTACACACTCTTTTTTGGAGAAATAAATGGATAGGCAGGGTACGATTGTGTGAGGCATTTTTACGATTGTTTGCGATGACGAGAAATGTTGAACCTTATGTATTGGAGAATGGTTTTCATAATGACACTAGGTGGGTTTGGGATGTTAGTAGGCGAAGAAGACTCTTTCAACATAAGACCTCAAGCATTAATCTTATGTTGGAACTTGTGGATGAAGTTTCTATTAAGGTACAATAACAAGATAAATGGGTATAGAGGGCAGATTCTTTAGGTTGTTATTCAGTACAATTTGCATATTCATAGCTATTTGAACTTTTTGGTGGTCCTAATATTGTAGATCAGTGTACAGCGGATGGCTTGCAAAGGCTATGGAGAGGGAATGTCTTGCTTAAGTTTCTAGTATTTTCTTGACAATTGTTGTTGAATGCACTTTTTTATAAATGATTGTTGATTGATCGTGGTGTTCAAATTGATGATATAACTTGTTGTTTTTGTCATAGTCTAGAGGAACTTCTAACTCATTTATTTTTAACGTGTCTAGTTTCATCTCAAATCTGGTACTTTACTGCGCGTGAGCTTGGATTTTCACTGGTTTTACTTTCAAATTTATCGACTCACTTGCTTTCTTAGGTTGGTTTTGGTTGTAGTAAAAGAGAAGAAATATGTTTATTAATTATTTAGATAAGTATAGTATAGTTTTTGTAATTACATAGAAATCGAATTGTATTTTGAATAAAAGAGAAATAATAGATTTTATTATTCTGAAGTCTTAGAAATAATTATCAATTATTAGTTAAAGGAAAAATTATTTTGTTAGCTGATTAGTATTTAAACCTATAAAATTATATCTATTACTTTTTATTTTATCGAAGAAGTATTACGGTAATATCGATTTTGAGTTTTTCACGAAAAATTTATATATGGGCCCGCCACAATCAATGTGTGTCAAATTTTCATACGAGGCAAGGTTGAAAATTTCCATACTACAATTACTCCTACAAGGCTATGCTGTGAAAACTGAAATATCGACTCGTCCGAAAATTTATGTTAGTGTCACTTTTTTTTATGACAAAAAAATAAAATAAATACTGTAATTTGAAAAAAAATATATAATTTTTGATAATTTATAATTTTTCATTGTTTTTTTTAATCTTAAATTCTAAATCTTAAATCTCCGTGCTTACACTAAAAATTTTTATTAGTAATTTTTCAACTTTATATTTTTATTTTTTTCAAAAATACCGTATTTTAGTATATATTATTTCTAAATATCATATATATATATATAACTATACTTAAAATGTTACAATTTTTGTTATTGGCTGAATTATAGGTTTTGAATATTGAGTCTCAGCAGAGAACAAGGCTGAAAGAAATTATGTTGGCAGCTACAAGGTAAGCTTGTATTTTTCTTTCCAATTTTTTTTATCATTTAATCAAATAATTTAAAGAGTTTAATTTAAATAAATTTTTTTCCTTAAAATTTAAATGACACACCATTATTATAGAGTTAAGACTTTTCATAGTTATAACATTTATTTCTTGTAAGTAGGTGAGAATGGCACTTTTGTAATTGTACATGTGTTTTAAATATTGACTATTAAAACCAAATTCGTTGAAGCCAATATGGTGCTGTGTGTATAGGAAAGAGAGATTTGGGACAGTAACCAAGAATCTAAAGATGACAAGGATGTTTTCTACATTGGTGGAAGAGATTAAAGCAATAAAAGGTGACTCACAATCTAAAGACGTCATGGTCCCCATGGCCCACTGTGAGAGGAACCCAGTGCTGCTGCTTATGGGGGGTGGCATGGGAGCTGGAAAGAGCACTGTTCTTAAAGACATTCTTAACGAGTAATAACCGACACAATTCTACTCTTGCACTATTATCATTCTTCAATTCTAATACTCTTACAAAACTTGCCCTGGTGCAAATAATATGTGTACCCATTACCCAAAGTTAGAATAGTGACTAAATAATATGGGTACACAAATTTCAAAAAATATTACTAATTATTATACAATGAATGTGTAATTTAGTCTCCACAAGTGAACTCGTGTTGCTGTAGTGTTTGTAAGTTTTTGTTTGTATAAATTAATCTTTTCATAGATGAAAATGTTTATAAGTTAACACTTGGTTGGATAACCTTTTTAACAGGTTGATATTCTCAAGGAACAATGAAGCTACACAAGTTACCTGCTTTTTACTAAATAATATATTAACTCAATTATTATTACATTCACAATTCTATGTAATTATACAAATAAATTATTTCATCTAAACCAATGCTATAGTTGCCTTAAATATTACCGGTCCATGCCTTGGATAAATAAGTGTGATAATGATATTGAGGATCGATCCTCCACCAGTTCACCGACACCATGTAGATTAAGCAGTTTTTTTGTTAAATATTTTTACACATATAGTGCTGATGTGTTTATAGAATAGGGTCCGCTAGCCATATGGGATATGTGACAATGACAGTAACGTAAATAGGATCCATTGCAAAGGTACGAATCTCTTAAATCGGATTAAGTGCAAGGCTTATTTATGTATGAAAGGAACTCTACATTCTTTGTTTCTAACATAGTTTGCAGATTTAAGTAGATTATTTATATCTAGCGAATTTCTTTGGCAGACCATTTTGGTTAGAAGCAGTTACAAACGCTGTGGTTGTTGAAGCAGATGCTTTTAAGGAGAGTGACGTCATATATAGAGCCCTTAGCTCCAGGGGTCACCACGATGACATGCTCCAAACTGCTGAATTGGTATGCTTTTATATGAAACAACTCCTAATGTGTTTGTTTTCACATTTAAATGCATATGAATCTAGGTACACTTCAATGCTACCAGTTGTAATTTCTGTCTATAAGATTTATGTTTACATATTGTCTAACATGTTTCCAACACACACTTCATGTTATTAACATCACTTTTACTCTAAACTTGCCACTGTAGTATGTACAGCATGTGCCAAATAAATTGCACTTCACGTGAAGTTCCATATTAAATGAATGACATATTAGACCCTTAAGCCATTTTCAACTAATGGTTGCATTAAATTCATCAAAATCTGAACAGGTGCATCAATCTTCCACTGATGCTGCATCATCTCTGCTAGTGACAGCTCTAAATGAAGGTCGAGACGTGATCATGGACGGTACCTTATCATGGGAACCTTTTGTGGAGCAGACAATTGCTATGGCAAGAAATGTTCACAAGCATAGGTACCGAATGGGGGTAGGGTATAAAGTAACCGACGATGGGACAGTTATTGAAGATTACTGGGAGCAAGTAATAGAGCCAGAAAAAGGACATCAATCAGAGAAAAATGGTAAGGGAGAACCACAAACTCGAAAGCCTTACAGAATTGAGCTAGTTGGTGTGGTTTGTGATGGCTATCTTGCAGTCGTTAGGGGCATTAGGTATATATTCTTGTGAATTAAGCTACTTTGATAATGGGTTTTGTGTAAATGACAGTTAATATTTCCATTTGGAATTTTGACAGGAGAGCTATTATGACAGGGAGGGCAGTGAGGGTGAGTTCACAATTGAAATCTCACAAAAGATTTGCTGATGCATTTCCAAGATATTGCAAACTTGTTGATAATGCCAGGCTCTATTGCACAAATGCTGTTGGTCATCCAAAGAAGGTAAATATGAACAATTTTGCATATCTTGTGATAAAATGTTTGATTTTACACTTTACAATGTCAACAAGGTAACTTGCATGTTATGCAATACAGCTCATAGGGAGGAAGGATTGTTATCACGATCTACTGGTGGATCCGGAAGATATCGAATGCTTGGAAACGATAGGCAGTTTGAATGCTGAAGCTGATTCCATATTCGAACTTCACAAGGAACCTAGCCCTATAATGCAACCTGGTTCTGTTTGGACTGAAATTGTTCAATCACCTTCAAGATCAAGGGATCAGGAAGAATTGAGGGAATCCATTAAGAAAATAGAGAAAATCCATTAGAAAAATGTAACCAATATTGTTGCGCAATTATTGCAGCCAAACCTAAAAGTTTGCATATCTTGTGAACCATTACAAAAATGTAACCAACATTAGAAAATGTGAAATATTCCTTGCAATTTATAAGCTCCACAGAACAAGTTCTTTAAATCAGTATATATTTCCTCTATAAGATAATATTGCTCTTATCCATCCACAATATATTAACAAAACCATTTGAATTTCAGAGAATTGAATTATTCAGTTCCAGAGAATTTCAAACGAACAAATGGATATACATGCATCTTACAGAAACTGTAACACTAAGCTAGTTAGATTCAGGATAGCGTCTAATGGCATGACCCATGACAATAGCATTGAATTGAACATGCTTCTCGGTGGTTTAATCGGAAGGAGCTGTTATATAGTCTTCCTCAATCAGCCGGTGGTCCAATTGGTTGAGTGCCATCATTGATTCACATAGGCATTAGGAATCCTAATCAAATGAACCTTGACCTTCAACTTCGAGAGCGAAATTCCTCAGACTGGAGAATACATATTATCACTTTCAACTTCGCTTTCAATTTCACTTTCATTTTCGCTATTATAGGTCTCAAGATATGCCTCGTCTCCTTCCTCATCCTCCACCTACATATAAATAAGGTATTAACACAAATATGAAATGAAAGATACTGTCGCACAGAGAGAGAACGAGAGAGCAACCTCAGAGTTCTCATCATCAGAGGGATAGGCAGAATCTAATTTGTCATACAACGCTTCATCGCCCTGGTTCTGTACGTTCTCCATTTGTTCCTATGAAAAATGATCCAAGCCAGGAAATGAGGTTTCTGTAAAAGATACGACTTGGCTTGCAAGAAGAGATACCAAAAATGCAAAGCTAAGTAAGGACATACTATTTCGAATCTCAACTTCTCCACTTTATTTTGCAAAGCAGAAATATGATTCAAGAGGGCCTGTTAGGTAACAAGAGAGTTTGCGCATTAATTATAAACATGAAATAAACCACAAGCATGTATATACAGGTCTGCATAGGAGAGAAGGAAAAATAGAAGAATTAGAGTTAAACCTTATTTTATTTTGGTCCTTAATTTGTACTACAATTTATTTTTAAAAACTAAACTGTTTTTAAAAAGTAAATCAAACATGCTCTAAGTTTTTATCCCTCAGATAAGATATATTTATCACCACAATCCTTAAAACTTGAAATCTCCCAATTTTTCATCCCTCCATCTATTTAAATTAAATGCTGTTATCTCAGCTTTTTTATTATGTTAAAGATAAACAAGGCATGTCCAGTACAGTCAACTAAGTTAAAGATAAATGAAGTAATGTGGTTAACAAAATCAATGGTTAGAAATACATGTAGCACAAGATATGAAGCAAGCTGAATGGCTATTGACTATTTTTGCTTCCTCCAAAATCAATTTTCAACTCTGGACAAACAGCTTGGTGTTGTTTGTCAAATTTAATATCACAACAAGTGAACATAATTGTCTATTTTAGAGTATTCATATAGCTTTTCAAGACTCGTTTTGGCCAAATGACATCATTTTGACCTAATTGGTTAAGGTAGACATGCCATGTCATTTTTTAATGTGGCAATTAAGGGGTGAAAAAAATTGGGGATTTTAAGCTCAAGGAACTAAATTGATAAAATATATTTCTAAGATACTAAATTTACAGAAAATGTATCCTTCAGGGACCACAAAAAATTATAAGCTGCTTTTATTTGAAGGGAAAGGAAAAATTCTTTCAGGGGTTTTCAGATGAAGAAAGTAGTACAAACTATGTACTTAAATCGATAAATGGGCCATAATCCAGTGGTTCTGTGGGCTGACATTAAGTCCAAACATTGTGACTTCAGAGGTACAGTAAATACAGAACCATTGCAAATGTTTATCTCCAGATCTATATTCTAAAAATAAGAGTTTGTATACATACCTCATGTCGTTGGAGCTCAATTGAACGTGCCAAAGCCTTTCTCTTTGACAAAAGATTTTTTGGTCTCAACATTGAAGGACGGTGGTAATCCTTACCTCGATAAACAATTATAGAATATCCTTTTGAAACTTTGTCAACTGAAACCAAAACACCACCACTCTCAGCTTCAAGTGCAAGAGCAATTTTTTTCACATGTTCAAAGGTTTTAGCCTTCACAATAATCTTGACCAGTTCCCGGTACTTCCAGTGCAAGTGCATGTTCTCAATAGTACCATCAAAAACTCCACGTCTACCTGAATTCACAAATTATTAGATTTGTATAAGCAACAAACAATGAAGGTCTGAGCATCAGAGAGAAATTATTCAGAAAGACAGGGCAGTGGTGATAAAGCTGATTTAAAAGTTGCTTTAGATTTGCAGAATGGATTTTCAACTTTTACAGATGCAATATTCAGCTATATCATTACCATGAATTAGATCTATAAGATAAACTATCTATCTGATCTCTTCCATGCAACTCTTAGTGATGAAGTAACGAAAGTAGTCCTAAAATAGAGAAAGAACAAATTTGTCTAGATAGAGCTCTACCAAGAAGTAAGAAAGCTTTCATCCGCAATCCTAATTTGCGAAACATAAATCTCTCTTCATCAGTTATACTTTCAGGATCTGCTTTGTGTTCTGATGGCTTCAAAGACTCCTCCACCTTCATTAGGGCCTTTTCAGCTCTCATTAACTTTCTTTCAGCCTGGTAAGTAAAAATTCAGGCATTACAATCATGCAAATTTTAAGTTGGAAAATAATCCTAGAGCGAAGCAGAAAGAGAGAATAGAGACTATCAAAACCTCCAGGTAAACTGACATGGTGTACATGATATTTAAAAGTACTGATTGTCTAGGGTTTTTATGAGAGTCTAATTAAACACATTTAATCCTTGTAAGCTAAAGCTTCATTCATTGCCTTGATCCTTACTTCATTCTCCTTCACCTCATTATATATGGCACAGTCCATTTATCATATTACTAGCTGAAATCATGTAAGCAGAAAGGGAAGGCTAACTTGAAGGTATGTAAAGTTGTTCCTTTGGCTAGTAATTTTGGGAAGGGGAGAATTAATCATTATCCATTGAAGTTACATATGTTAATCAACAGAATTGACTTAAATGACATACACCAATACAGGGGAAAGTGTGGCCTGCCTGATGAAATTAGGTTTCGAAATAACAGGCATAAGTAACATAGCATTGCATACTTCTGCAACCTCCTACACTAATATTATCCCTATTACTACTGCTACCATCATTTCCAACAACATTGATAATTATTTTATAAAATAACAAGACTTCACTAACAATTTTCTATTTCCTTTTTGACTAAAAATCAGCAAATAGAAAAATCAGCAGCATTGTCATCATGACAGATGATGAGAGAACAAACACAAGCCATTGGCAAGACAATAAGAGACTTCCTTGATTTGAGCAACTTAAAGAACTTACAAGGGAAAGCTTTCGTTCTAACTTTTTAACAAGGTTGGCATGCCGTAGTTGTTCTACTTCTCTCATTACTCTTTGCTTGTGACGCTCATCCAATGTTTTTCCCCATTTTGCATCTGCATCCAAAGTTTCACCAAGAGTCCCAGCCTCTGCTGACAACCCTGATGTATTACTAGTCGGTATGAGCAATGATGCTGCTCTCAATCTTGCTTGCTCCTCCTCATCTTGCATTGCTTTTGCCACTCTTTCCCTCTCCAGCAAGGCTTGAGTAACATCTGCAGATAAAAAATTCTTTCCTCGAAAAAACACCAAGAAGTCTTTATTTCTGGAGAGTAGTATACCACCTGTCAATTTCTGCAGCCAGCAATAAAAATATTTATTTATCAACAAATCACCATCTATAAGTGTACTACAAATGCACATGATAAACTACCTGTTTTTCAATTTTAGTAACTGCTTATAACTTGATACTGATATTTGACGAACATCAAATTAATAACAAAACCATCTTGGTGACAGACTTTTATGCATAGTAGGAACATTATTTTCTCATAATAGTTTACAGCCATATTAAACCACTATGAATCTAATTTCCTATTACTTTATATATCACAGATATTGGTGGATCATTCAAGACATTTGAAAGTAGCAAAACATGTGATAATAAAGGAATTAAGGCTTCCTAAACAGAATTTTAATAAAATATAAACAGAAAAAAGAGACAGCAAGACCATTGGTGGGTCAGTGGTAACATTGTCATGAAAGAAGTTAGAAGAGATGAAGTTTAGTGGGTTCATGTGAATTAAGTCAATATGAAATGCCAATCTTAACAGATGCCAACATATTCAAACATAAAGGAAAGGTTAAGCATTAGGAACTGTCATAATGACTTTGGAAGAATGAAAAAGTGCTTAAGAAAACAAGGCTACAAAAACAAAGTCAACAAATTCAATTAGTGGAACTGGATAAAGCGTGATTAATCACCTTGATCTCTTCTGCCATTCTCTCACTGGTAGTTAGCTGCACACCACGTTTGAGAGCAACCTTTGCAATAGAACTTTTTTCCCACAATTTAATCATGGCTACGGCTAGACCTTGAAGCTGTCTGTTTCTACCTGTATATCATGATTAATATACAATCAAAATAAAATTTAAAACTTCACACGCATAAGGGAAACAATGACAAACCTAGCGCAAAATGTGGAGGAAGGGTCCTTGCAATCCTTCGTAGAGCAGTTGCCTCCCTTAAACCAAGGGTTGATCTCACGCCAAATGGAAGAACTCTGAAGGGAGGTTGGTAACCAGGAACAGTTGCAGGAAGCATATCTGCATCGACAGGCAATGGATCACATCCAGGCCAATCCGTGTATCTAGGGCCTAGACCATCCAATAACTGGTCTACTTCATGTTCATAATTGACTTTGGGCAGATAATCTCTTTCTTTCTGGTCATTTGTAGATTCCAATCTTTCCAACTGTGCATTTGTCCCAGCATTAGAAGCAGCGTCAGAAGGATTCCCCACAGACTTATAAGAAGGTGTTGGTAAAAGCTTAGAGGAATTCTCGCTCTTCCTATATGTCTTTTTATTCTGTTGTATGGACAGATCCTCGTAACTCACACCCCTGTATAAGGAAACAGAGTTGCCAGACCTCCAAATCACCAAACCGCCAGTTTTTCTCTGAATGTGGTTTAAGAATAAACACGAATAAAGCAAAGGTTATTCATAATCAAAGGAGGGATATAAAGAAAAATTGGAAAACTCGAAATGGAATCTACGCACAGTAATACATGGCAGGCAGCATTGGCAATACACAAATTCTAATCTAGAGCATTCAAATCAATCCCCACAAATTATCTGGACTCTTTGACAAATGTTGTGGTTAACAGAGTAAGAAAAATATTTTCAAATCCACAAGCAAATTCAAGAGAGTGCTCCAGATGATAAGTCAATTACTTATCACTACTAAATTATAAATACAGGCATATGAACATCAGAGCAGGTCCTGGGGAAAGCGTAAAGAAAACCTGTTTGATATTAACATAACATTCATAGTCAAGTTGCCCGGCTCGAATCCCAGGAAAGGGAGAGTGTTGGACAAGTCTAAACTGACATAGAAATCCAGGATCAAATCCAATAGAAATTTGTATATAGTGATCTTATCAACAATTCACTGCCTATTCTGTCAAGCCTATTTCCCCACATTGATTTGACACGTCTTAAAAAGTCCCCTTGGAGCTGTATATGACAATACTGAAAACAGAAAAAAAATAAAGGAAAGCTGGTAAGGGGAAGTTCTTTGAAATGCAATTCAGGGTGCTATTCTGTTGTCCAATGATGCAACAGTTTTTTTCCACATATGTAAGACACTCGTTGGTCTATCTACTTTCAAAAAGTTCACGAAGCTCTTAGGTTGCATAAAGCATTAAATTTACGAGTCCTCTTTCATTTATGCAAGACATGTTCATACATATATACTTCACAAAGATTTTATCATCCTAGAATAAGCATTTGCATTTGCTTCTCGATCCCATCATGCATCCCCTAATATTTGTAATAAAAACAAGACATTTTAAACACACGAGAATCAAAAGGTAAATTATCAAACCTCCAGAATCTCGTGCATCCTCTTCATGTTAAGGGCAGCTTCACCCTCGAACTTTAACCTCACAATCTCTTGTGTCTTCCACCTCTCATGAATCTTGTCCACAACAGATTGAGAAACACCACTGCTCCCAATTCTTGTCTTATGCTTCTTCTGAAAAGTCAACTTGAGCAACCTCTTCAACTCTGACTCAGGAAGAGTGAGTTCTGCCAGAGAGGTCTTGCTTTTTCTCCTTGCAGATTTCCTCTCTTCTAACTCTTCAACCACTGGCTTTTCCCATGGAAACCTCACCTCTCCATCACTTCCAAAGCTTCCAACTCCCAATGGAGATTTTGGAGAAAACCCACCTCGTGTATTAGGCAACATTCCTTCCTCCACATAGAATATATCCTCCACTGACCCTTTTTCTATTACTCTCCCCTTTGTTCCACCCTGCTTCTCCTCAACCCCATCATCAACATACCCAAATTTCTTCAATTTTTCCACAATCCTATCCATGGTACTAACCCTACTGTTACCATCATCACCGTCACTATCCTCATCAGAGCCCACAAAACCAAATTTTGATGCACGCTCATTTCCAGAACCTTGATAATTCAAAACAGCACGAGGCGGTTTTGGACGGCTGTGTTTGTTTGATGGGTCATTCCAGCGTTTCAACCAGCTCTCACTGCAGAAACTGTTGGCGGAAAAGAAGGGTTTTTTTACGGCAAAAAAAGTGGAATTGGTAAAGAGGGCTTTGGGAGGGAGCGAATGGCAGAAGAGCAAGTTGCGTGTGGAACAGAATGTGGGGTAATCGCCAGAGGTTAAGAAGCGGACAGAGTGGAAGTTGGGAGAAGTGTGAAATGAATCGAAGAATGGGTGAAGCTGACGAGTGGGTACAAGAGCCATCACATTGACATGAATGAATGAATGAAGAGATGAACTTTGTTGATGGTGTTGTTGTTGCTGTTGATGATGATGATGATGATGTTGGGTGTAGCGGATGGAGCTTCTGGTTCAGCTTCTTACCCTGCGCTGGAGAAACAAATATCAATGCTGATTTTTCCTACCGCCAAAAAAGTTGTGGATAGGGAAACTCACAGGTGCCTCTGCTGCTGCCACTCTACATCTCACTTTTCTCCTTTTTTTTTTTTTTCTTATATTTGAATCTTTAAATATTAATATTATAAATAATGTTTTTATATTTATGTATAAATATTTTAAATGTAAAAAATAATTTTTAATATTTTAACATTACAAAATTATGTAAAAAAATAATTATTTACATTTGGAGAAAATATAGAATATTTATTCTCTATTGTATTAAATTTTTTACTATTACATTTATCTCATTTTACTTTAACTTAAATATGTCTTTAATTTTTATAATTTAAAAAAATTGTTTTATTTTCTTTAATTTAATTTTTTATTTTTTATTTTTTTACAAATTATTATTTTTAATCTATTGATATAGTTCAACTGAAAATTTATATTTAGCAATATTTGAGTAGATCAAATAACAATAGGAATTAAAAATAAAAAATCGTGAAAAAATAAAAGTAAAAAAATTGTTTTTTGAAAAACTAAAACTAAGAGTGATTTTTCACAAAAGTACGGTAACTAAAAGCATATTAAAATTTTTCTTTCTTTTTTCTCTTACAAGAAAATCATATGAAGCATGCAAAACTACGAGAGAGAACAACAAAAAAGAATTACGCAACTCCAGCATATGCAAAGCTAAGTTTATTCAATTTTATATAATTAACATACAGATGAAGTGAGGCCATTATTTATTTTCTGCCCATTCATTTATAAGGGGCAAATCAAGTGGCGACATGGCACAAGGCTTTCATCTTGACATAAAGAAATGCACATAAAGTAAAGGTAGACAATGATTGGAATCCAAATAACAAAAGTTTTGCGAAAGCAAACTCATCATGGAGGAACCTCTCTTCCCTCATATTCATATATTGCCGGTGTTTGGAGCATCACGGTGGCAGCACTTGTAACTAACAGATGTCACTTCCATCACACGCCCACACGTGGGATTTGGGCATGTTATGGTTGCTACGACATTTGCAGTGTTGTTATCAACATTCATATATGCACAGGGTTGACGATCATATATTTCCTTAAGCTTAGCCTCATAGTATTCTTTGAAGGCTATGTCAAAGCCTTCCTTTTGAAGCACTTTGTCTTTCCATATCTCAAACTCTGCCAAAGTTTGATACATAGGCTCACCATGACCTAGAAGCTTCACGTTGGAGCCTTTGGTGAGAATAGCCCATCCTTGTGGATCTTGTTTAAGGCATAGCAAGCTCTTCACAATTTCTTGAATCTCACAGTCCAAGGCATCCTTGTGCTTCTTCAGTTTCTTGCTTTCTATTTCAATCCAGAAACGAGGAACAACCTTGGGGTCATTCCTTCCCAATTGATAGTGGTCTATTATAGCATCTGCCCTCGAGATAGTTGCATGCCTTTTGGTTTTCTCCACTGCCAGTGTGAAGTCTTGGATCCACTTTTTGTCAGAACCTCCGTATATGAAAATGTACCTGTCCCCTTTTACCTAACTCACATGGAAAACATACGTATATATACGTAGATAAACTCATCAATATAAAAAAATGTCATGAATATAACTTATATCTAATTAAAAATAATCTGTAATATGAATATTGTGAGCCTATATTAATAATTATGATATTCTTATATTGATAAACAATATCATAATATATAAAATATGTAATACTTTATATAAGTAAAATAACTATATTCTGACAATTAAGTTTTTGTTAAAAGTAAGCTATCTTAATAACAATTTTTTTAGTGTATATATTATGCAGTAAAAAAATTGATTAGAAAATTAACTAGTACTGAGCTTACCTGTACTCCAAGATTTACTTTCTTTGTTACATCCCAGAACCACTTCCATTTTAGAGTAAGATCAATACCATCAATTTTCCTAAAGGGGAAAGCGTCGATCCCCCATTGAAAAATCAAGTCCATTGCATCTTCATTCATTACGTCACCAAGAGGGGTGAGAACTGGGATAATAGGATTACCCCAGTAATTAAATTTCTCTTTTATTAGCCCAGTGCCTGGTAACTCATAGAAGTACTCCACTGCGTACCATTTGATGGTATCCTTCAAAGTATGGAATTTGTGTACCTGGTTGTCGTCCCACACAGTCACAATGGGGATCCACAAAATCTTGAAATCCTCTTTCTTGTAATCTTTTATTATTTCTTTTGGATTTTCTTGCAATCTTTCATGGAGAGAATTCAAAAGTAAAATCTCATCTTCAATCTTGTCGAGGCTTGAAATGAACAACAAGACATGTTTCTGCCGTAAGACTTCAATATCCTGTTTGAAACATAAAACAAAAAAACAAAAAAAAGGACCAAATCATTCCTTATGTTTTATAAAATGACACCCCAATATAATAGCAAAAATAAAAAAAAATACACCAATAACTAAATAAAAAGGTTAGATAACTTCTTTACAATATATTGGCATAGTCATGAAAGAAATAAATTGATGACTATATTAGATAAAAGATTACAAGAAAGAGGATTTCAAGATTTTGGATGGATTGGTCTTTAATGAATATTAGATAAACAATTAATAGACAATATAGTTTAGGAGGACTAAATGTTTTAGTACTAACTATATTGTTTTTGGTGCTGCCATCATATACTTGGACCTTCGATCCCTTGTGTTGGATCAGAAGCTTCAAGAATTCAACAATATCTTTAGGATTGGAAAATGCCTTCTTGCGCCTCGAGTATTCTTCTACATAATCTGTAACAAATGGACATAATCGCTTGTTAGCATTTGATCAGTTTCATCATACTTTTCGCTAATCCAAAACTGAAAATAGCCGTGCTTCCTTATATACAAAATAGGAAGCACTGTGCTAAGCGCATAACCTATTTGCTCCTTGCTATATTTCAGATGTTCCTGCAATCTAGAGACAGCCAAAGAAAGCCTGTCCGTGAAATCTGATAAGCTATACTCCCTGAAACAAAATTAATAAACAATTGCCGTTATGTAATAATTAATGTCACAGTTACAATTAGCTAGCTAGAAAAATACTATATAAATATGTATTTTCTCCGGTTTTACAGTTGGAACAATTCATATTAAACTCCACTCTCTTAAAAAAAAATTAATATCAAGATAAATTTTGTTACAATAAAAAAACTATGTTGAAAAAACTATTTTACGAGACGTACAAAATAGACACTAAATTACAAACTTAAATATATTTGAAGTCATTTAAAAAATGTCATTTTTAAGTTTTCATTTTTATATAAATTTCATTTTAATCTTATATTTAATCAATAACAAGTTTTTAATCAGAAACTAAAAATACATATAATAATTTAAAAAATTAAATATAAATATGAATCAATTTTTAAAAGATCACAGTTTTGGAGATTGAAAATGATATTTTTTTTATACATTTCAAATTTCAATGGAATATCTTTAGGTGTATATAGATAAATAAGTATAGAGTATACAATCATTAAATATATTTATACTTAAATTGTGTAGGATATATATTTACAATCCAATGAATCTTTTCACATGATGTGTACAGAGTATGAACTAGCATGTTGGGAAGGTAACTTACGATACACCAACGAGGTTGCCAGTGGCAGCAATAATGGAGGCAAGTATCCAGTAAACAACAACAGGAACCTCATGAAGGGCATCTGACAAGGAAGGCACTTCCAATGTGTTATAACCAACAGCAGACCATGTTGCCCACTCTTGAATGTTCTGAAGCGCTTCCATCACCAACTCCACCAAATTGTTCACAGGCATCTTTCTAGTTTGAACTTGGTTCAGTTGTTTCAATGAGTTTGCAAGTTGATCTGATGGTGGAACTTCAGTGAGGTGCAAAAGATTCCCATATTCCAAAGCGAAAGCAGCTAGTGCTACCAGTGCTTTTGCATCCCATGAATAGGTTTTGAGGTGCTGAAGAATCCACATTGTTGTTTGGTGCACATAACGTTCGCCACAAGGTGTGGTTATCATCTGTTATAAAGGTTTAAATTGTTTTGAATTCAATTTTTATTTAACGTGTATGATAATTAATTTCACTTTTCAATTCTTGAAGTACGAAGCAAAATAAAACATGAGACATTTCATCTAATTAATATTATGCAAATAAAGTAAGGAATAATGATTGTGCCGGCCATAAAATAACCTGACAAGAAATCAGCTTCATTGTACGATAATCTGGTTGGAAACCGGTAATACTAGCTTTGCCTTCAGCGAACCTTGTCTGCGACTCACACGGTGACAAATTAAAACGTTAATCAATGTTACATGTGTTTCTTATATTTTCTTTTTCTATCATTTTTATGGAATAGCTAGATAATAAAAATAATACATGCTTAGGTAACATGTCGTAGCATTGAAAAGGTGATGTTATAGACTCATATAGAAAGAGAAACAAATTTAGTAGCAACAATTAATTTAAGGAGAATTAGTATATGTACCTTAAGTACATTGGACACAATGTTCCAAAGGATATCTACATCGCACTTGTCTTCATCGTGGAGATGGGTGAGATAAACTCTCTCCAGGATCTGAGAATCTTTAAGATCAAAGGGGTTGGGCAACAGAACTTTCTGTTGCGGAGTGGCATTTTCATCAGCTGCATTAGACTGTGACATGGTGATTAGGCTTTAGGGTAGCTAGTATTTTTTAAGTGCTTCGCTTTGTAAGCAAAGGATGGCTTGTGAGGTTGGTGCTCCCAAGTATGTATATATAGGCTGAAGAGTGGATAAGAGTTTACACTTGGTATAATTACTTTGTAAGTAATTAAGTGTTTAAAAAAGAGAAGATATACCAAGTAACTTCTGCTGGGGCCTTTCAAGGCGTGAAATGTGCCGCTCTCATGTGATTTTCACAACATACCCCTTATGGGCTTCATGAGAGATGAGAGATCACTAAGGATATCATTGGCAATTTGTTGGAAGTTCACTAACTTTAGAAAAAGATGATGTATCACTTGCCAACCATGGAAAAGAAAATTTAATAGCAAAAGGAAAAATGTTTCGCGCCCAAGGAAAGAACAAAAGTACTGCGCCATTTATTTATTTATTGGTGATTAGTGCTATGCAATTTTACTGCTCAACAAAGATGCTTCCAGACAGAAATCTAAGAACAACTTGAAAAAATCGTTGTGACGCATACATAGGTGTATATGGCATATCAAGCAGATATGCCATGGGAAAGGATTGAATATATTATTTTTACTTCAGATTTTACATAAAACACTATCCATATAAGATAAGTGAATTTACTTTATCTAAAATATGCACATTAGAACATTTTTTTCCTTTAAAGTTCATATTTTAAAATTTATACAAATTATAATTATTGATTTAAAAAATTATTATTTATTTTACACGTACATGCATTTTATCATAATTTTAAGACAAAATCAGCCACTAATTCTTTTAGGTATTCAAATCCAAAAATAAAATGTAAAAATAAAAAAGTATACAAAAAAAAGTAGTTAAATATTTGGTAATATTGTAAGTAGAATGATAGCACAGATTTTATTTGAAAATTAAGATATATATATATATATATATATATATATATATATAATTTTGTACTATTAACACTATATCACAAGTATGTTATTTCTACTATCAACAATTATAATTCTGTATTTTTTTTAATTAAATTATTTACTTTAAAAGAGATAGATCTATAAGAAATATATATTATAAAATTATTCATATGTCTTTACTTCATGTAAAATTTTAGGAGAGGTAATTTGTAATATAATATCAAAATCTTTACGACCATTTAGAATTTAATTCTTACAATCCACTTGGTCTAAAATATTTTAACTGAGAAAATTTGGATAAACACTTCAAGAAGTATTTTTTGAAAGAATGACTTTTTGCCCATTCATTAAGATTACTCTGGTCATAAATTATTATAAAAGCAGATATCACATCAGATTTTTCTAGCTTTAACAAAAGGCATATTATTGACTATAGAAAGGGCGTATATTATTTTCTAGCCTGAAGACTTATTAAGAAGTTGACCAAAATTACCCAGCCAAATTTATTTTTCTCTTAACTTAGTTAGGATACATGGAATAAAGTGAGTTGGGAAGATTTGTCGAAAATAATATGTAATAAAGAACAAAGCGGCCATAATCTACGTAAAAATGCTATTGATCTAATTGGAGCATTCGTTTTGCAATTAAGAATTTTTTGTTCTGAACTTTTAAGTTTATATATCTTCTGCCAATACTATACAATTTAGCAAATAACGTTTATTAGTTGTACATTGCATACCAGTAATAAAAGCGCTAAAACCATGATGGCTGAAATACCATCTTCGTGTCAACAGAGCACAACGATTCCTTTTAAATGTGCATTTATTAGTTGACCACAGGATTTTGTTAAAATAGATTGTATATGAATGCCTTTAATTTCCCATGAGATCCTTAATTAATCGTAAGATTAATAGTTTAATATACATTCATTCCGACTTTTAAAGGTGTGGCACTACCAAGTGAATATATACATACATACACACACAGATTTAAAAATTATTAAAAGCAAACATAGGCAGATCACATATGCTTCTCCTCCGCACTACAAATAAATTTGCAATTGTTTGGAGCATGACCATCAGAGTGGCAACTGTTGTAATTAACGGAGACCCACATTGATGTGCGCAGGCGATTGACGAGCAGATATATCTTCAAGCTTACTATGTTATGTCATAGTATTCTTTGACGATATGCCAAAGCCTTCTTTTTTGGTTCCTTTCTCTTTCCCTATCTCAAAAAAACAGCCACTGTTGATACATGGGTTCGCCTTGGCCCAGATGCTTTATGTTAAACGCTTTGCTGGCAAGAACAAATCTTTAAAGATCTTGTTTAATACAAAGCAAATCCTTGAATCTCAGCCCACAGTCCCCCTGTCGTTTCTTGCTTTCTATGTCATTCCTAAAAAATGAGCAATGATGTTGGGGTCATGATCATTTCTCACGTCAAAGTGCTCTACATATAGTGTCACCCTTTTGATAGTCGCATGCATTTAAATTTTCTCCACTGTTCAGTGTGTCCATTTATTGCCAATACCCACATATATACTAACTTGTATTTATCTCCACTGAGTCATAAGATAAACATTTGTAATTTTGTTTTGATTGTCAACACTCTATTTTTATCTTGTTACTGTAAGTTTAATATTATAACTAATTTAAAATAAAAGAAAATAATCAAATATTGAAGGCTCAAATTCAAATTCACTTGCGCAAACTTTCTTATATTTGTTTGGCTAATATTCTTCTCCATCTACTCAATTTCCCAATGGCTAACCTTAATTAGCATTTTTTTAAAATTACATGCCTCTTACTTGAAAACAAAATAAAATTGTACCCTGTAGAACATTCTCTTAACACGGTAAAAAATGCTCTAGCAATGAATGTTTTTTCTTTTTTTAAGTTAACAAAATATTTTCTTTAATTAAGAGTAATAAAATAATTTCATCTATTCATGTTATACTTGTATCTATGAATGATCAATCATCATTAAATTTAAATCAACTATAATCTAGCATACAAGAATGTGAGAATGTAGTTATCAAGAGGTAGAGACAAAAAAACATCAACTATTCAAAATTAAAATTTAAACATTATATTTGATCAGGAGAGCTCAAATTAACCAAATTAGACAAACTTATTTTGTCAATTTATGAGGAGTATCGTGGGAAAGTATCATCATGTGATAAGATGTTTATTAACGGTGGAAAGAATAGCAAACATGGTTTGTGTTTGGTCGATGGTAAACATGGTTCAAGGTTGGAACAGCGGGTGCGATGGGAGTTCAAGAAGATTTGCAACATGGAGGCACAATGAGTCGTGGGAAAGTGAAAACTCTAGAATAAATTTTAATTATTTTGTTTAAATATTCTAAAATTTTAATGTGCTATCTTAATATTACTGGCGTGCCCAACACCTCGTATTTACAAGTTGGGTACTTACTATTAATAACTTGGAATGGTAACACAAAACAAAGTACATAAGTCACATTCTATCAGCAAAATAAAAAGAGGAAACGGGAATCACATCAGTCAAATGTTACATTGCATCAAAATTTAAGCAAATATCAAGTGCATGCTTATAAAACTAATTTTATTCAATCAAGAAACTCAGTAAAAGAGAGACAACTAGAAGCCATTATTTAGTTTCAACCCATCAAGGTCGAACGAAGTGGCTACCCATGCATAAGAACTAAACAAACAAAAGTTGAGGTGAAACTTCATGTTTAAGCATTGCAAACTTCGGAAGAGACTTGCGGGTCCTCAGATATCAAATACTGCAACTGTTTGGATCATCACGATGGCAGCACTTGTAATTAACTGATGTCACCTCCATCACGCGCCCACATGTGGGATTGGGGCAAGTTATGGTGGCTAGGACACTCGAAGTGTTATCAACATTGACAAAAGCACATGGGTGACGAACAGATATGTCTTTAAGCTTAACATCATAGTATTCTTTGAAGGCCACGTCAAAGCTTTCTTTCTCAAGCACTTTGTCTTTCCATGTCTCAAAATCAGCCGCAGTTTGATACATAGGTTCACCATGACCCAGAAGCTTTATGTTAGACCCTTTACTAAGAAGAACCCAACCTTGTGGATCTTGTTTAAGGCATAGCAAGCTCTTCACAACTTCTTGAATTTCACAGTCCACTCTGTCCCTGCACTCTTTGTTCTGTTTCTTGCCATCTATGCCAATCCAAAAATAAGGAACCCTGTCGGGGTTATCCTTCCCTAACTGAAACTGCTCTATGCTAACATCCAAATTCTTTATATTCTCATGCTTTTTTATTTTTCCAATTGCGATCGTGAAGTCCCGTAGCCACTTACTGTCGTTACCTCCATAGATGAAGATGTAACTGTCCCTTCTCATCTCCTGATATTTATATGGTAAACATATTAAGAACACTAACAAATTAATTAGAAAATACATTCCTATGTTCGGAGAGAACCAAAAATAATTTTATTTTTATTTATGTAAAAGTTTAAGATAAAATTAATAAATATTATTCTACTAATACCTATTTTGTTTCTATTTATTTCACAAAATAAAAGCTCAAGACAATGTTAATAATTATTATTTTATTAATATTCTTTTGTTTATATTATTATTTGAGTAGTTTAAGAATTACAAAAAAAAATCCACTAATAAATATTGAAATAAGAAGTTTGGTAATTAGTTTTAACAAAAACTAATTACATTTTTTAGTATGAATATATTTTTTTATTTGGACACATAAATAATAACAAATTAACACATGAATAATGAAAATTAATTTCACAATAGTAATCATTCTCTTATATATATAAGTTCAAATTTGTTTGTTTGGGTAAGAATAATTCTCATATACGTTTCTTAGATATAGGGAGATGCGAATATTTGATTATTTGTGCTTACCTCTATATTGAAATCTACTCTCTTCATTAAATTCCAAAACCATGTCCATATTTTACTGAGATCATCACCGTCACTTTGTCTGAAAGGAAATGCTTCGATGCCCCATTGAAAAATAATGTCCATTGCATTCTCATTCATTATCTCACCTTGAGGGTTGATCACAGCCAAACTAGGCTTACTGTTGTAATATTTAAATTTCTCCCTTATTATCCCAATTCCTGGTAATTCCCAGAAGTACTCCAACACATGCCATTTGATGCCTTCCCTCAAAGTCTTGAACCGTTCCTTAAGAACGGCGTTCCAAACATCCACAATGGGAATCCACAAAATCTTGAAATCCCCCTTCCTAAAACCTTTTATTTCATCGCCTGGGTTTTCCTGTAACCTGTTATAGATGGAATTTAAAAGTAAAATCTCATCTTGAATGCTGTCCAGGCCCGAAAAGAACAACATCACATATTTCTGCTTAAACACTTCAATACCCTGTTTCATAAATTACAAAAAAAAGGACAAGATTATTTATTTTAAACCAAAATTCTATTTCATTGATATATATTGGAAGTATAAAATATTTTACATACAATGATATTTAATAATTTTTTTAATCAATGAAATAATAATAATAATATATCAAAATATAGATAAATATCAGTAACACGGTTCCTGGCAACGAGAGAAAAGTTATATTAATGATTAAAAGATAAGACAGAAAACAAGTTAACGCGCGACTAACCATTTTAATTTGCATGCCGCCTTCATAGAATAGGGGTATCTCAGATCCATTACCATAGATCAGAATCTTCAAAAGATCCACAACGTCTTTAATATTTTTAGAGGCTTTCATTCGCCTTCGATAATCGTCTATCCTCCCTTTTAACAAATTGAGACAATATCTTGTTAGCATTCGAGTTCAGGCTCCAAAAGATTAATTGAAGCAACACACAGCACTACTAATATTAACCAACCTATTTGCACTCTGCACATTTCCAGATGCGACTTCAACTTCATCACAATGTTAGAAAGCCTGTTTTGAAAATCTGATAATTTATGGTCCCTGAAACCAAAAAATAAAATAGAAAACCAATTACATCTATGTCATTTCACATTTGCATTCTGTTTTTTTTTAAATGCAGAGTTATTTCGTTACAGGTGCACATCATTTCCTTTTATTTCACCACAGAACTAAATAAAAAAATTCCATATACTAAGGAAAAAAAATATTAACGCATTAGACTTGCTCTTGTTTATATAATTTTGATTTAACAAGAAAAAAATTATAGTACAGACTTTATAAATTTACGTAAATAATACAAATGTAGGATACACCAATAATATACATCAACTTTTTATATCATCAGATAAATATATACTTACTAATAAATAATTATGTTAATATAAAAATCAAAGTATACTAACATAATTATCTAAAAGTAATTATATAGTTATTTGTTGGCATTTAAAATTGAAATATATCATAATATTATAAGTGTAGATATTTACTATTTGTATAAATAGATCGATTTTTATTATGGAAAGAGTTTTTAATATTGTTTTTCGTGTGCATAGATTTTTTTATAGTGCCGCGAAAATTTTCTTTTAGATGTTTGCTTTAGATATTAAATTATCCATTTAACTTGGAGAAATCCTTCACCTTTTCAGTTTTTATGACTTTTCTTATAATCAGGAGATAGATAAAAATGAAAGAGAGAAATAACGTGACAAAAAAAAAGAAAAGATAAATTATATAAAAAAATGATGTAAAAAATAAGCATAAGATAACATAACGTAACATGATAAGTTAGTATATAGGATGAAGCAAGTTGGAAAGAGCAGGACTTACGAAATACCAACGAGGTTGCCAATACACGCAACGATGGTAGCAACAGTCCAATACACAACAAGAGGGATCTCTTGCATTGCATCTGACAAGGAATGAACTTCCTCTGTTTCATACCCTATTGCAGACCATGTTGCCCATTCTTTGATGAGACGAAACGCTTCAATTAAGGATGTCACCAGATCCGTAATTTCAGCAGGAACCTTTCTGTTTTGAACTTGGTTCAGCTGCTTCAATGAGCTTCCTAGTTGATCTGATGTTGGAATCCGATAAAGCCGCCAAAATTCTCCATATTCCAAAGAGAAAGCAGCTAGAGTTATTAGCGCTTTCGCATCCCATGAGTGGCATCTCAGGTTCTGAAGAATCCAAATTGTTGTCTGGTGGGCACATTGTACACTTCCACGTGTGGTTATCATCTGTTACCAAAATCAATTCATCATTAGCAACACATTATTTTGCTTAATTTATGTAACATGTACACATATATAACCTGACAAGAAATCCGCTTCAGTGAAGGGTAGTCTGGTTTGAAACTTGTTGCAGAAATCTGTGACTGACCCTGTAAGTGGAAATTTTGTATTATCTATATATAAACAAAAGGGTATAAATAATTGTCTAAGGAAGAATGAAAAGCGAATCACCGTAACTACAGCAGCAGAACCAGAAATTTGAGCTGTGCCCATGATAGTGGACACAAGGTTGAAAAGGATATCCTTATCGCAGGTTTCATCATCGTTGACGTGGGTGAGATAAACTTTGTGAAGGATTTGATAGTCATCAAGTTCAAATGGGTTGGGAAGCTGAGCTTTCTGCGGTGGCTCAGTGGCAGTTGAAGCTGCAATGGACAGTGACATGATGATTCAATATGTGATTTTGTATGTTCTAAGGTTCTTATCAAATGGGGCCTTGCCTTGTGCAGTAGATACTCCCCATATTTATAGGCTTTAGTACACCATAATTTGTACTTGGCATGATAACTGTTGTGTACTATTTAGAGATCCCAAATAGATAAAGAGTTAAGTAGGGGATAAAAATAATATAAAGTAACAAGCTTGTGATGTGAAGCGGTCTCTGAGCGAGAAACATGTTGCAATGATGAGGTTTTCGCACTATACCCTTGAGTGATTAGGATTCCCTAGGAATGTGAGATTAGTATATCAGGGGGTATAATTGGCATTTGAGTTTAATTATTTTACCAAACCCAGCTTTTTGTTTGTTTCATTTTTTCTACTAGAAGCTATTCTTTTTCTGGGGGTGTGTGGATTTGAATAGCATCGAACTTCTGCTTTTGAGGAAGTAGTCGCAAGCCACTGCGAAAAGAAAAAGAACAAAACATGATATCGGTATGTAAAGAAACCTTAATCGATTATATTGTCAAGTCTTTATATATAACTAGAAAATTTTATTAGTATTACCATACTTTATCATATTATGTAATTTATGATTTAAATATGACGATTATTTGATAATAGTGCATGTACGAGTATAATTATTTGTAATTCTTCTCTTTATGATAAATGGTTTTTTTAATCGATTTGCAAATTGAGAATTCAAATCAATATTAGGTGCAAAAGAACATCCAATGAGGACCACTCTCACGGCCAAAAACTGAAGACGTATACTTCATAAGAAATAAAAACAATCGCAAACTATGGTAAAAAATTTAGTCAATTTAGACGAATGGATCTTGAAATAGACAAAGGATCAGTAAAAAATGGAAAGGCTCCTCTAAAATAATACTGTTTTCGAAGTAAGTTAAGATAATATTTTCTTCTAGTTTAATTTAAGATTATGATAATTTTAAATTAAACTAAAGAGGAATATCTTTATATATTCACTTTTGTGTAACTTCTAGGGGATACTTGAGCAACAGTATTATCATTGGACCATTGGACGTCTGACATGGTATTCAATCTTTTCCTTTTTTTTTCAGTGGTTCATAATTGATATTCTAATTTAGTTACCGTATTTTGTAAAAGGAAAAAGGTTTCATATAAGAAAATAGACACATCTGGAGAATTTATGGTACTCAATGTTAATGAAATATAGAGATAGAGGATAATTTTTAGAAATTATTTGGAGAATTTTTTAGAATTACGTTCTTGTATGTAGTAAAAGGAAAATAAAAACTATGGCAAAACCTATTTCATTTTTAAATATTTTCTTTATAAGAGTCTTATGATGCTTCGAGATATATTTGAAAACAAATAAATATCGGGAAGAATATGTTATTATATATATAATAAAAATATACCCATATTTCAAATTTTTGTACATTAACGCAAGGAGAGATACTAATAATTTGTATAATTTAGCAATACTGATTTTCTTTTTCCCTTTCTAAGTGTAAACATTTAATTTTCTACTAAGAAGTCTAGAAGAGTATCCGAAAAGCAAAACATCCAACCGTTTCAAAATATTGTCAAGAACAAAAATATTTAATATCATAAATATTTAAAAATAAATAAATAAATGTATAGAATATATTTTTGAAGGACCCAAAAAAATTAAACTATTGAAATCTAGTTTATAAACTTATTTGTGTATCTCTTGCCCTGTTTTCATTTATATTATAGCAATTACAATATTATATATATATATATATATATATATATAATATGCAATAAATTCACATTAATGGAAAATTACAAAATTTTATAATTGTAAATTTTAATTAAACATTTTTTATCATATTTTTATTCACTAATTACTATTATTAAAATAAATAAATTTCTTATTAAATTAAAGTATCTAATATTTTTCAACTTACAATATTTCATTTTATTTTTGATATATTTAAAATTAAATTAAATTAATTTTATTTTATTATTATTTTTTACATACTTATAAAGATAAATCTATATTAAAGTAAAAAATTCAATAAATATTATATTAATGTATATTTTTATTTTAGTAAAAGATTGATTGATTTTTATACTCTTCTCAATATTAATTTTGTAATTTTATTTTAATATAATTAAATATAACTGTGGCAGTAAGAAAACTGTTCTGTGTGAGAAAGAAAAAAGTAATATTTAAAAGTCAGTATGGAATTAAAAGTCAATATCAATTGATCAGTGTAATTTTAGCTTCTTACACTAATTAATAATTTTTTGAAAATATTAAATTAATCAATTCAATACTAATTTAAAAATTTTTCACATAATTAACTTATAAAATTTCAAATAAAAAATTAATTAATATTTCATTAAATTACTTTATTTTAAAATATAATATTTTAAATTATAAATAAATATTAAAATTTAAATAATATATTTACAAATATTTAAAATATGTAAATCTTAATATCTATATATATAATCATAAAAATAATTTAATAATTAAATTAATTAATCTTACGTTTTAAGAAAATTTATTGAATAATATAAAAATTCAAGTTTGACATCATGCGCAAACAAATTTTAACTCTAAAATTTAAGCTAACAAGTATTCCTATTATTTGTAAAAATTTAAATGTTAAAATATATGTTTAAAATGTATTTAAAAGAAACTTTATTTACTTTTAAAAACTAAATTTTTAATATGATATAAAATAAAAACTGTTTCTACTTGATAATTTCAGTTTCAGTGAAGAGGATAAATCAAGTTTTAGTATTTTAATACAATTCGCATTTTAAAATTTATCAGCCACAAATTCGCTAAACTTATTTCAACATTTAACACATCTAAAAATTATTTCTTTCTATTTTTTTGTTCTATCGTACTTTAAACTTAATATGATATAAAGTGGTATACACTTAATTATTCTTAATTATTAAGTTTGAGAGATTATATTTAAGAGTAATTTAAGTTTTTTTATTTTTTAAAATGACATATTTTTATTTAAATATCATTTTAATTTAATTATATATATTTTTAGTTTTACTTCTATATTTACTGTCATATAATAATTAATTACATTCAATCTTAACGTAATATTTAGCAAAAAAAAGGTAAATTTAATAAATTATAATAATCTATTCCTAACAAAAATTGTGAATAAGCAAATGAAAACATCAATCGACTTACTTATTAGTACACTTAATCAAAATGAAAATGTCAATAAATTCACTAATCAAGATAATAACAAAAAGATAAAATTTAACAGTAATATTATAGATATTTTAAATGATTTTTTTAATTAAAGTTTTACTTGAATAAACTTAGATGTATTTTTAATATTTATACTTTGGCTAATGAGAATTTTAATTTTTTTAACATTAATTATATACATTTAATTTTTATAATTTTTTAAATATTAAAATCAATTTATTTATTCTAAAATTTAATCTAGTAATTAATAAACATACAACCAATATATAATATATTATTGAATTATATAAATTTATAAAAATTTATTGTATAAAATAATAAAATAAAAATAAAAAAGGATTTTTTTGTATTTTATCAATTATTTTTAATATTTATAAAAATGAATAATGTGTCACACATTAATTACATGTTAATTATTGAATAAAATATTAAAATAATGAATTGGAATAGTTGAGAAAGTAAAAAAAAAAAAAAAAAAGGGTACGTAAATATAAAGAGATCAAAATTATCCATAAATTAAAATATTTAAACTAAAAATACAATTAAGTCTTATATTTATAATAAAAAATACACAAAATTAAAATGACATGGGTTATTTAAATAAATTTTTAGTGAGAAGTATAATAGGTATATTCTAGTTTATAATAAAAATACACAAAAACACGTATTAGCTCCACCCGTTAACTACTTTGGCAATTTTTGTAGAGCTTGGGTTTGCTTGAGCAGTATATAAATGTATTGATTCTCTGTCGTCTCAAAGTATAAAGCAAGAGTTTTGTAATTGGAATTGTTGGATAAATTTTATGGGTTGAAAAGAAAAGAGTAGGAGAAAGGTTAAAAGATAAATTAACTCGTTATTATGAAGCTTCGTTCATTTTTCTTTTTTAAGAACTTTCTCTTTATGTGTCCAGCAATCATTCGAAATTTATATAACAAGTATGTTTCTCTTTTATATTATATTTTTCAGTGCTCTTCAAGTTTGTTTGCACTCTTTTCTAATTATAAAAATGTTTGTATGCAATTGTGTGTACATGTTACTCTTGTATGAAAAATTAAAAGGAAGTAGTTTGAAACTGCTGCCGTTTAAATCTTCGATTAAAGGATTACAGAGGAGAAAGTGCTTCAATGTGCTTCTTCGTGATCGAATCATGAAGGGTTGGGGATTATGAAGATGAAAAATTTTAATTAAAAATTTGAGTGTTATATAAACTGTAATCTTAAAATAAAAACTTGTAAAAAGGTTAAATTAAGCAAACATACGGGAAAGAAAGATATTAGTTATGATAAATCGTAAGTTTATTCACCACTTGTATGATTGAAATTTTACCCAAAAAAGCAAACAGATGTTTACTCGAAGGATCATTACCATCATTATTATTCTTTTCAGGAAAAGTGATAAATCAACTAGCATCTTACCACAAAGAAACATTTGTAAAGTAAATATAGGGACCACCATCAAGGTAACGAAAATCTATTAATCATTAGTTTGATGATTTCTGCATCGATCCTTGGCTAATTTCTCTAGAAAATACTTATTGTAAATTTATTTTCTCATGTTGATGATGATCATTATTGATGTTTACAAGGACGGTTTCAGAAATATGTTTGACAAAAGGGTTTAAAAGTAAACAAATTTTGATCTAGAAAATATAGATACAATATGGGACATTGTTATAGGACACGAGTACAGAAATATGATAAATTTATAAAATTATAGGACACAATATAATTATAATATATAAAATTAATTTTAAATTGTAAGCAAAAAAAAAAAAACAATTTTAAATTAAACACGAGTTATTATAGGCATAATAAAAGGCTACCACTTTATCTAATTATTATGGTATTTTAATTTGTATTGACATAAGAGTTTAAGAATAGATGTAAAAATAATAAAATGCATGTAGTTAAAAATATTCTAAGTGTTCATGTAATATCTAACATAATTGCATGTCTAACACGAACTACTATTTTAAAGTATTAGACTTTCTTAAACTTTACATATATTATTATATTCTGAATTACAAAAATACATTTTTTTTAATAAAAAAAATTCACACACATACATATATAAGTCAAGATCAGAAGTTAAGCGTTAAGTTAATAAAATAATATTTAATATTTTTATTAAGTGTAAGTTTCATAAATATAATCATTTAATTTAAAATTTTTATAAAGTTTATATAAATTCACACAATTTAAATATTGAAGGATAATTTATTATTTTTTAATATTTTAACAGTTGATATAGTACTTAAAGTGTAAGTAAATAATAATTATTAAATTATATGTCTATAAAAATTTAAATCATGTAAAATTTATATACGTAATTTTTATATTAATATTATAAAAATTGATAATAATTTAACGACATTTACTTTTAACGAAAATAAAAATATCATTTAATTTTAAAAATGTCATTTAATTCTGATTATTTATGTGTGTTAAAAAAATTGAAGAGGGAAGGGTTGAGGCCCAGCTTTGCCTTTCTCTAAATTTGTCCCCAATGTTTGCACCGAGGGTTGACCGTAGTGCCATCGGAGGATTTTGTTTGATTGTGGTACAAGTGTTCTTTTTATTGGAGTGGAAATGTGGTTATAACTGTAGGAATAATATAGTATTAAAGTGAGGACACTTGGGTTTAGTCATACATAACGCTATCTCTTAGAAAATATGAGGACACTTTAAGCATTAAATATTCTTGCATGCTTCCTTCTATTGATTTAGACAAAGCATCCACTGTTATTTTCACCTTCTTAGTGTTGCGATTTATCAAATTCATTTCCTTTTTGAATTTTTTTCACTTTCAGTACGTTCCATTTGTCTAGACTTCTCGAACCAAGATTGTTAATAGGAAATCTTCCTTTTCAGGGAGCGGTTGTCAGATCCAACGTCGCTCAAGCACGATTTGACTTTGGAAACTAGGGCGACAACCCTAACGGCATTTTTTCTTTTCTTGAAAAAACAAAAGCTAATCTTAGAAAAACTTAAAAAACTAAATTTAAAAGTTCATTTATTTTAAAGTTAAATAAAATTAATTTTAAGCTATTAAATATAATAAGACGTATTAAAATAATTTAATCAGGAATTTTTATTTGAAGATGTATTTTTTAATTAAAAAAACGTGAAAAATATTTAAAACTAGAACATGTATAAAAGATGTGAAGGCCCTTTCACTTAAATCAACAGGCTTCTTAGTTGGCAAGTCTTCAATCCAGATTGAATAATTAATCGCACAAGCTTTGCTTGCCCAACGTCTTATAAGCTTTTTTGTGTTTAAATCTTGTCATGTTACCAATCGAATAATCCTTTTTTTGTATGCCTTTCGCCGATAAATGGAACATATTAGTGCGCATTATTCATAAACAAAAAACAATGTAAACCCAACATTCATTTACCTATATCTAAGAACATGTCATAAAGGTTAAAAAAAAAACTAGTTCAATAATTGGATCTAATCCACTACCAAATAGAAAGGTGAAGTGAATGCTGAAAAAGTGACGAGCAAAATAGAGGTAGAGTTGTTTACTATTTCACATACATACATAATTTTATTCTACGAAGAACTTGGATGTAACAGAGACAGGTTGAAACCATTATTCTATTTCTACCCATTCAAAAGCATCACACGATGCATTTGATTGGCCAGACATATATATATATATATAGCAAACAAACAAAAACTCAGCAGAACTACGAAGATGAACATGAGCAAACTGGGGCAGGTACTTGTTCCTCAACTTGAATCAGACACTGAAACCGTTTGGAGCATCACGATGGCAGCACTTGTAATTAACAGATGTGACCTCCATCACACGGCCACACGTGGGATTTGGGCACGTTATGGTAGCTATGACATTTGAAGTATAGTTATCAACATTGATAATTTCACATGGTTGACGAGCAGATATCTCTTTCACCTTAGCCTCATAGTATTCTTTGAAGGCTATGTCAAATCCCTCTTTCTCCAACACTTTGTCTTTCCAATTTTGAAACTCTGCCACAGTCTGATAAACAGGCTCGCCATGACCAAGAAGCTTAATGTTAAACCCTTTGCTGAGAATAACCCACCCTTGTGGGTCCCTTTTGAGGCAAAACAAGCTCTTCACAATTTCTTGAATCTCACAGTCCACTGTTTCTTGATGCCTCTTGTTCTGTTTCTTCCTCTCTACGCCAATCCAGAAACTAGGAACACGGTTCGATTCATCCTTCCCCAACTGATAATGATCTATTATCACATCTGCACGCTTTATAGTCTCGTTCCTTTTTATTTTTTCCATTTCGAGTGTGAAATCTTGGATCCACTTAGTATTAGCACCTCCATAGATAAAGATGTACCTGTCCTCTCTCACCTGATTCACATGGTTAAAATAAACAATGTAAGAACATTTCATTTAGGGTAGGGTAAATCGGATTTTATCAAGATGTTAGTGTAGACTTATTTCTTATGCATAGAAATTACATTTAGTGTTCTACAATTATACATGATATAGCTTGCTTTGTTTGCAAATAATTGATATATAGTGATGGATCATAGTAATTTGATATTGACAAATGAATTAGATGATGTGAACTGACCTGTAGTCCAGGAGTTGCTTTTTTGAGTAAATCCCAAAGCCACTTCCATTTTAGATTAAGCTCAATACCATCACTTTTCCTGAAAGGGAAAGCGTCTATACCCCACTGAAAGATAACGTCCATGGCGTTTTCATTCAATATGGTACCTTGGGGGCTGAACAGTGGGATAATGGGCTTGCCAACGTAATTCAATCTTTCTGGATCTGTTATTATCTTGTGGCCCGGTAAGTCAAGGAAATACTCCACAACGTAAAACTTGATGCCCCTTTTCAAAGTCTTGAATTGTTCCTTTCGGACATCGTCCCACCCGGCCACAATGGGGACCCACAAAATCTTGAAATCTTCTTTCCTGAAACCTTTTGCTTCTTTTGGATTTTCTTGCAACCTGTCATAGATTGAATTCAAAAGCAATATCTCATCTCCCACGCTGTCCAGGCCCGAAATGAACAGTAACACGTGTTTCTGCCTCAACACTTCAATACCCTGTTTCAATTTGGAACATAAATTTCAAAAGCATCCATAATCATGATTAAACACACTTTAGTTTCAACATATTCAATACGGGACAACAATAGTTACTTAATGCACGCAGCAAAACTAACCAATTTAATTAGGAAGCTCCCTTCAAATATCAGGGCATTCTGAGTTCCATTTCGGTAGATCAGAGCCTTCAAACAGTCCACAATATCTTTAGGTTTATCAAAGATTTTCCTGCGGTTCCAGTAATCGTCTACATAGCCTGCAACAAACGAAGATAAGCTCTTACTATAGCCTTAATTCGGTTCCTAACTCCGAAGTCCAAACCATTGAAGGAACATGAAGCAATTAATTTCTTTACCTATTTGCTCTTTGCAATATGCTAGATGCCTTGTGAAATTCTTTACAACAGCAAAAAGCCTGTCTTTGTACTCTGACAATTTATATGTCCTGAAGGAAAAGGCCACAATTTCAGTTATACATGGGATGGTTACATTTTAAAAAAAAATACTAACAATACACTTTCTTACTCTTAAATTATTTATAAACTTCACAATTTCACTATGATAAACTATACCTTAAAAAAAAGGGATGTTAAAAAGCATTTCAATGCCATTTCATACCACATAATTCAAACTTAGTGACATTCTTTTGGAAATTTGTTCAATAAACAATTTCACTCAAGATGTGGATTACACTGTATATGAAATAATGAGAAAAACAGAGTAAAAAAACTTACGATACACCAACGAGGTTGCCGGTAGAAGCAACAATGGCAGCAATCGTCCAGTATACAACAACAGGGATCTCTTGGAAAGCTTCTGTCAATGCAGGCACATCCTCTGGATCATAACCTTCAGCAGACCACGTTGCCCACTCTTTAATGTGCTGAAACACTTGCACTATGTATGTGACCAATTCGGTAAGATCAGCAGATATTTTTCTGGTTTGAACTTGATTCAGCTGTTTCAATGAGTTTCCAAGTACATCCGTTGTTGTAAACCGATAAAGGTGAATAAAGTTCCCATACTCCAAAGAAAAGGCAGCTATGGTTATTAGTGCTTTTGCATCCCATGAGTAGCATCTGAGGTGTTGAAGAATCCAGAGTGTTGTTTGGTGGACGCAATGCGCAGCACTAGGTGTGGATATCATCTGTGCCACCGCATTTATTAGTTAGTTACGCATAAATTTTTAAAACTTTCATTTACCAATCTGAACTAATAGATTTTCCCATAACATGTACATGAAAAATTTACCTGACAAGAAATCAGTTTCAATGTAGTGAATTCTGGTTTGTAACTGATTACGGGAATCTGGGATTGACTCTGGAAAACAAAAAGTTATCTTCTTCTGTTAGATACGTAGCCTTTTTATATTGCATGTTTAGATAACTTCATAAAGTAATTAATTAATGAACAGTAAATACTTATTTTGCTCTTTGAAAAACTACAAGGGACATCAAATTAAGATATTTCGATAATAATTAATCATATTATTTTATTAATCGAGGACGAATATAATGGCATAAAGAACTAAATGTGATATTGATAATTGTTAGACAAGGTAGAAAATATAAATAATTGACATGGGGGGAGAATGAATGGATGTGAATTACCGGAAGGACAATGTTGGACACAAGATCGAAAAGGATCTTGGTGTCGCAAATTTCATCATCACTGAGGTGGGTAAGATAAACTTTGTCAAGGATCTGAGAGTCATTAAGATCAAATGGGTTCGGCAGGTGAGCTTTCTGTTGAGGCAAAGAGGCATTTGAAGGTGCATTGGACAATGCCATGGTGATTGCAATGTGAGAATAGTATCCTCTTAGGTTTGTGTTTGAAAGCAAATGATCAATACTGCTTTGCCTTGAGCTGTTGGTGGTGCTCAACTTAATTATATATAGGCTCGAATGCGTGAGAGCTTAGACTTGGCATAGGCATAGTAAGTACTTTAGCAAAGAAAATAACTCTGAAAGAAACAGAAATAGTGACAGAATAATATGTAAAGTAGGTTCTGATATGGTGGTCTCTAAACGTGAAACATGCTGCTCCGATGTGGTGTTTACAACATGCCCCTGTGGATTGCTTCTGCTATGTGAACTAATTGTGAGATCATAACACTAAGGATATAATTGGGCTTTTGTTGGAATTGCACCCAAATTTATTTCTTTTTCTGTGTGTGAAGTGAATATGGCCAAGCTTTTGCTTTTGGGAAAGATGATGATATGTCATGGCAAAAAGAAGAAGAAGAAATGATTAAACGCTCAAGGAAACAATTATTATACTAACCTCAAACATTTAAATGCCACTGTATATTGTTACCTATTTACGATATATAAGATAGTCAAGTATTTGATATCTCAACGTTGGTAACATCCTTGTTTGATTTAAACTCAAGTAACTTCTATTAGTTTCTACTTTTTTATAATAAATTATTAATTAAAAATAACCATTTCTATATTGTTATTGTGATTATTATCATATTAATTGACATTACGTGTTTATGTGTAGCATTTGTGAAATTTATAAACTGATATTTTTATGATATAATTGGGTTTAATGTTTTTTAAAATTAATGATTTTATTTTTCTTTTTTATGTTTGCGTACGTTAGTTAGAAAGTTGTGTACTCATGCGCTTTAGGTCAATTCATTGCTAATATGAGAGAATAAGCTTAGACACATGAGAGCTGGAAAAAGAAAAGCTTGAAAGAGAAATCAATTCGTTACATGGAAGATTCATTTTTGTTTTCTTTGTCAAGAACATTTCTTTATTATAAGTAGTCGGTCAAACGTTAAAATGTCTATAACAAGTTTTTTCTTTTACGTTATCCAGTGTTCTTCAAGTTTGTTTGCTTGCTTTTCTGCTTTGTTTCTCGCACAATTGGTAAATTTTGATGGGTAAATTGTCATAAATACCAAAAATTATATATATATATATATATAAGTACATACAAGACAGAAAAGGTCATAAGGCACTATGGTTGTTAATTAGAAGATTTGGTCACTGTTTTCCAGTTGCAAACATTAAAATAATAAAAAGGAGAAATGAAAATGAACATGGGGAAAAAGAGTTCTATATACAAATATATATAATTTTGTAACGTGTCAATCATTAAGTAATTATACTATTCTTGCTTTTTTCATATTTATATTTTATTATTCTTTATCCTTCATTTCTGTCTATCTCTTTCTTTTCTCCACCCTTTTATATCCCAAAAATCTTTTTCCTTGACAGTTAGTGATGTCACTACTTCTGCTCCTAATATCCTATCCCTGTTATATTGTCAATAAAAAATTAAAAATTAATAAGAAAATTAAAATCTCAGATTAGAAACACATATTTCAGCGATATAAAAGTCTTCTCCTATCAATTTATTTATATGAAAAATTAAATCATTTGAAGAGATATAAATTGTTGACAGACTCCATCATAATTTGTGGGACATGTATTATAAGTTGCCTTAGTTTTTCAAACCAACTCCACTTTAACATTGTATACAAGTAAGTTTACACCTTTAAATTAATCTACAAACATTTGAGATATGATACTCTTTCACATTGAAATTTTATTTCCTTAGAAAAGCAGCTAGTAGAGCATGGCTCCTTCCTGTACACATTTAAAATAAATTGTAAGGATATAATTCGTTAGTTTCTTCATTGTATTACCTTGTTACAATTTGATATGTTAAAAAGCTTTAATATAGCTTTGTAATCATAGCAAAAAGATTAAATTCCCTTAAAAAAATATTATTAATAGCTAACAAAAAAAAAAAAAACTAGTCGCAAGGCTTGTTCTAAAATGATAATATTTGTCTAATATAATTAAAAAAAATAAAATTATTAGTTTAACGTATCTATTAATGCAATTTATCATGCTAACAATATGATATTTTGATAGGGTACTGAAGAATAAAAGAAAATATGATGTATCAATGTTATATTTTAAATTAATAAAGTTATCGATAGAGTATGATATGAATGGGTTTTTTTAATTTATGATTTTACTATATCTATGAAAACAAACTTAAACAATTAACATTCATATTCCATTAATATATGATTTTGTTTTAATATTTGTTCTAATTTCCCTTTATCTTTTGGTGAAAAACAAATGAATTTTTTACTCTATCAAAACACCTACTTTACTCAGCCAACAGCTCTTTTCTCTTTATTCTTTGCATTTTTTTTATATATTTATCTTTTATTCCGTTTCTGGTGTGAAGGAAAGTGATCTTGCGTAGTCTGTTGACACATTTGCCTTATTCAAAAAGAAAATATATGCTTAGTGTGCAGAATTTGAACATGCAATGAAATGTTTACATCTAAATGGCATTTCTTTATAAGATAGAAGATTACTACATTATACAGTGTATATTAATATGTTCTGTGAAACACTTGAATGACTAGAATTGTGCGAGATTCGCACCCAATATGAGATCAAAACCAGTTATTAAAGCATGTTGTAATCATTTGGTATGGTGCACCTCAGTTGCTTCTTGGAGAAAAAACACTAAATCGAAGCTGTCGGCATCCTTTAATGTTATGTACTTTATTTATGCTTTGTGTAGTTAACGTGACAAGTCCAGGAAGTCAACATAGTAAGCTCGAGTTATAAAATTTTTGTTCATATTATTATGTTTTGTTTGAGAGAAGCAGAAGCTTGTAGAACTCTCTACATTTTGAGTTGGCTCGTGTTAACCTCAATTAGTTTTATGCAGAAAATTTTAAATCACTTCATTTAACAAAATTAAAATAAATACTAAGTAATTTTAAATATTTAAATCAATATTTTAAGTAATCTTTTAATATTTTTTAAAAAATATTTGTATTTGTTAGTGCAATGACCTTACTCTCATCTTCATTGTCATAGTTTAAAATCAAATAAATTTAAATATAAAGGAAACTAATAATTTAATTTTATAAATGACAATTTAAACTTAAAATAAATATTATCTTAAAAAACATATTCACTTAAAAAAATAATATAAATTTTTCGCAACAGCTCATACTGAGTCCATATAAGTTCAAGCTTTTAATTTCAATGCTAAAATTTTCTTCTTCTTCTTTTTTTGTCAAGTATTTTAAGTTAATCTACTGAGTAGATTGATTTAATCAGCTCTAGAAGATTGGCCTCCCACCCATCTCATATTTTTTTCAAGATTATATGTATATAAAATTATAGACAGTGATTTAAGATAAAATCAGGCATAATCTATATGTTTATGTAACATTAGCGGTATATATTTAATAATTTATAATAATTATTAAAATTCATAAATAATTATTAAAATTAACATGATAAATTTAAAAAATTATTTATATTAAATTTGTAACTACTAATATTCGTAAAAATTATTTGAAAAATAAAATCATGACAATTAATTAAACTTAATTTAAAAAATTATCAAAATATTTAAAAAATATAAACTAATATGATAAAAATAAATAAGACAATATGAAAAGATAAACTTCAAAAAATTAACTACATCCTAACCTTGATAGAGCATTAAGTCATGTGTTAACTACACTATAAATTAAAATACTAAATAACATATTACATATCAATTCAAAAATAAAATAACATTTTAATTTTAATTATCTATAAATTATCTACTTTTACATATTACATAATGTATACAAAAATTCATTTTTTTTATTTTGAGCAAGTTAATTTGATTGACTTCAATTTATATGTACATATTAATTAGATATGAGTAAGTAAAAATACTGATTACTTTTATTAAATCTATTTTTTTATATTTTTTTTTAATGAAAAGGCATCTTTTAATAAAAGTAAATAAACTTTTGTCAACCATTTCAGTTCTAAAACAAAAGTGTAAATATTGTTATGGTAAGACATTTTATAATAAATATATATATAGTATTAATTGATGAAATTATATTAATTTTTATATTTTTTTAAATTTTATTATTTCAAAAAATTTATTTCTTGTTTTTCTTGTATTGTTATATATTAACTCACCTTTTATTAATTTATTTTTTATTTATTGAGTTGACTAATTTTTTTCCTAAAAAATAGATAAATCCTTTTATAGAAGAGTGTGTTAGTCATAAATTCAAGGATATGATAATATATATATATATATATATATATATATATATATATAATATAATTCATATTATGAAAAGGTTTAATGTAAAAAAAATATAATTTTACTTTAAAATAGAAATTTAATATTTTAAAATATATTTATATTTTTTAATTTATTTTAAATGAAATAATTTAATTAAAAATAAACTCTTAAATACACCAGCATAATCTATTTATCTATATCTATATGTAAAATTGACTACACCTACTTATTACCTTATGCATTAAATTTTGAAATGTATAAAGTCATTTTTATGTATGTGATTTCATTTACTTATTACTTTATGCATTAAAATTCGAAACTTATAAGTCACTCTTATGTGCACTCACTTATTACTCAATGCATTAAAATTCAAAACGTATAATTTATGAATTAAAATTATATTTATTCATACTTATTTATCTTTGAATTGTATTTAAAGAATTTTTATTAGAATTGATGAATTGTATTTAAAGAATTAATTCATAACCTATAAAGTCACACATATTAACTGCATCTAATTATTACTTTCTACATTAAAATTCAAAACGTAAAACTTACTGATTAAAATTATATTTTATTCATACTTATTATCTTTGAATTGTATTTAAAGAATCTTTATTAAATTTGATGAATTGTATTTAAATTTTTTTTATTAGAATTGATGATTATATTATGTTATAAATAATAACGTAAATATTTATACTATAAATTACCTTAAATTATAATTTATTAAAATTAACTACAACATTTTTTAAAGTTTATGAATTAAAATTATATCTAATTTATACTTATTATGAAATACATTTAAGAAGAATTTATTAGAATTTATAGTTATATTATATACATTGAATTAAAAAATTACACTTATAATATTATTACTTTATATTATATATTATTAAGTTAAATTTTTCATAAATTCTTTTTACATATTTAAATTATTTTATTAATTAGTTTAATTTAATTTATATTTCAATATTTAATTGAAATACTAAAATATAATATAAATAAATAAAATTTATAAAATTATTACTTTATATTATTTATTATTAAATTAAAATTTTAATGAAAAGGCAAGTTTACATATTCAAATTATTTTAGTAATTAGTTTAATATAATATATAATTCAATATATATTTTAAAAATTAAAATATTTATAAAATTATTATTTTATACTATATATTGTTAAATTACATTTCTAATTAAAAAGTAAGTTTACATATTTAAATAATCTTATTAATTAGTTTAATATAATATATAGTTTCATATATATTTTAAAAATTAAAATATACGTTGAATGTGAATTATTATTTTATATTATATATTATATTATTAGAGTAAATTTTGAAAGAAAAAATAACTTTTATTACATTAATTTTTTATTTTTTGACTTTTCATATATTTTAAAAAAAGACTTTTTCTCTACTTATATAAGTTATATTTACATAACTTTTAAAAATTTAATCACCGTTCTTTTTATATAAGTCATATTTTTATTTTTAAATATTAATATATAGTTTTGTGTATATTAATATTTAAAGACAATTTTTAAAATTTCATACATTAGATGAATAAATACTTTATTTTTTATATATTAGTCTAATATGTTATTTTTAAAAAAATATGATATCATGTTTTAATAATTATATAGTAAAATTTTATTAATAATTTTAAATTATAATTATAAATAGATAGTTTATCTTATAAATTTAATTCAATAAATATAAACAAATATATAAATAAAAAATTATAAAACCTTTTATTTAAATTGAATAACATATATTAACAAATTTATTATATTTAATAATTTATTGTTATAATTATTTATTTAAAATTTTATAATAATAAATGATTTATGATATCATGAAATAATATAATTTTTTTTATATTTTAAAAATAAAATATTTGTATGTTATTTTATTTTATGCTAAAAAAATACTAAATTATACATATTTTAAATAATAATTTATTTTGATAAATAAATTTTTTATTATATTTATATATTTTTTATATTTAAATTATATATTTTATATTTTAAAATAAATTAATTTAATAAAAAAAATAAACTGCGGAACGCACGGAATATTTTCTAATTATTAGTATATATCACAATTGACTGCGAGTATTTAATACTTTATATAATTATAACAAAATTGATAATTATTAAGATTTTAAAAAATAACAATAAAATAAACCATGAAAGTTTAATATATTATGTAATTATAGATATTTCTAAAAATTATCTAATTTGTTTAAAAATATTAGAGTTATCATTATAAAATGAAACAATTATTGGTAATGAATTCACAAATATTGATTTTCATAAAAATATCAATATTTATAAAGTGTGGAATTCAAACTATTAATATACAATGATTTATTTCAACACAAATTTTATATCAAATTTTAAGTATATATATATATATATATATATATATTGTATGTAATCCATATATAAAGTTATAATAATATTTATATGAATTTGATTAAAAAATAAAAAATAAATTTATTTAAGATAAATCTTATTTTTAATATATTTTATATTTGTATTTATTATAATATTTTTTATATTTGATTGATAAATATTATTTATGATATTTATATCTTTTAGCATATAATTTTGTTTATATATTTATATTAGAATCATATTTATTTGTTTTAAATTTACGATACTAATAAAAATAATATGTTTGTATGATTTATATTTAAAATGTAATTATGTTTTTAGTTTTATTTATATTACTTGCATTGATTTTTTGTAAAATTTTATTTTACTGTTTAATTGTTGTATAGTTAAATCTTTTATTGTTAATTCTTAATTAAAATCATAATTAATGTACCGTATTAAATTTAATTAAAATTGAAATAAATTTAAGTTAAATTAATTGCTGATAAAATATTTTATAATTTATTTAATGTATTATATTTAAAAATATTTTTATGATTAAATTTTATTTTAATAAATGATAAATTTATAATTTATTTTTATATTTAGAATACATTTATTGTTTTTTAATTGTAAATAAAATATTTTAATAAAAAATATAAATTGCACGAGATAATTATTAGTATTATTGGTATTTTTATGTATTTTTAAATAAAGTTAAAGTTTTAATTTTATTTAAGTATTTATTATTATAATGACACGTTCACAAAAATTTTTAACGTTGAATTATATGCATTCGTTATATATTAATTTTTTTTCTAGCCTTTCGTAAATAGACAATTTATTTTTGTCTTGTCTAGTTTAAATTTTAAACTCTTCATTTGAATTAATTAACTTTATATGATTTAATATTTAATTCAATATATATTTTTTGGTGATATCTTAATAAATATTTAAAGATTATATAAAATTAAACATACGTATATCTTTTCTAAATTTAAATAATTATTTTCTTTAATTGTATTTTTAAATTTTACATGGGCTTAAGACAATTGTGGAATATGGAAATGTATTTTTCACTATCAGATTGATTTAAGTATTATGTGACACACGTGTCAGACATCAATGGGGGAAGCACAGAGAACTGCAATGTAACTATTTAGTGTGATGCCCATTCTCGCCGTTCTTATCGTCGCTCTTCACTCTCGTTTCGCTACCCACTGTCGTTTCATCCCATTCTAGGGTAATTCCTCTCTCAACTCTGTTATTTTGTTCCCCTCAATATTTTCTATGCATTCTTGTTTTCTGTTTTCCCAATGAATGAAACGAAACTCTTTGCTACTAGTTTAGCTATTTAAATCAGTTTGGCTCAAGTCTCAGATGAAGAACCTATTGGACTTGTTCTATCTTTCTGTTCTAAGCACTTGTTATTCTGTAAGAAGGGCTTTCATTCTGGATGTTGTTAAATGCGCGAAAGTTGAAAAACAAAGTTTTTAGTCTGTAAAATCCTAAGTTTTTATTAAAAATGACAGAATATCGCCAAGATTCAATGTATTGACTTTCAGTAAAAATTTATGGAGGAAACAAAGATAAACAGTTAAACACTCAAATATGTAGGTTTTCTTAACTTTGGATATGTAAGGCTTGGTTGTTGTTGTTTTAGATGATTGTTGCTGGTTTTTATACCCTTTTGTTTTGGTGGCTTTATGTCAAAACTGAATTTGTGATACTTTGAGTCAGGCCTCTGTGCATCTGTCAATATAGGCAGCGGCCGGCAAGTAAACAAGGCTTCCATCATTGTGTGGTTTGCATTTTTATCTCTGAAAAAATGACATCATAATTGATGACCATTGTTACCAAATTCGCTCAGTTCACCCCCCCTCCCCCACACAAACTACGAATTGGGGCATGCACACTAGTTTGCGATGCTTTTTCGTACCAATTCATTGCCCTTTTGGGACATAACAATTGATGTTTGGGAAGCAAAAACAGTGAAGCATCACATTACCTCAAGAGCCTCACTATTTCAGCTCATTGTTGCCTTGAGAAATGCTACAAGAAAGGGGTGCAAGGCTACAAGCGATAATCATTTGCATTTGCAGGTTATGCCACCTAGCCTCTGAGACTTCCCTACACCAGTTTGATGGCCTCCCCTGAACCTCCTAGGTCAACTCTACTTAATTTTTTTGGATTAGCCCTATTAGGTTTGGGGTTAAATTTGTGCGTTGGTTCGAATTGGGTATTGCATACCCAACAAGGTATACTCCCTGCATACCATATACTTTATATCGTAGCGTACCACATTCCCGTATTCATACCAAAGAGAACTACAAATTAGGTAACTATGTTGATGACCATGATTTGGTTACAGCAAATGCACATGGTCATTATTTGGATTTGTGTCAGACAAATTTTGGGCTTTTTGCAGCAGTTGCTTCACCATTATTGCAACTGGAGAGTTGTAAGCTAATAGCTTTGGGGACTTATATCTGGTGGAGTAGATGGTTTTGAAATCTTGTGGATAAAATTGATATGCCAGTTTTTTAGTTTTATATCTGCTAGGAACAAAATTTTGATATTCATTAGTTTAATTATTATCATTAACTGCAAACTTTGATGTGCTGAATACTTCTTGTGCCTTTGGATTAGATATGTTACTGGCGTTCTAATATGATTTTATGCTATGGCAGAAGAACCAGTCAGAAGTAACAAATATCACAATGTTTCTCAAAGTCCAGCTGCCCTGGAATGTCATCATTGCAGCAGAAAATTTGCAACCAGAAAGTCTGATGCTTCAACGGGCAATCATCATTCGCCTTCTGAGTGACTTTGCTGTGAAGAAGGCAACCAAAGATCTGGGATACTATCTTGCGGTGACCACATTGGAGAGAATAGGAGAAGGAAAAGTCAGACAACATACCGGGGATGTGCTCTTCCCTGTTGTTTTTAATGCGGTTACCTTCAAGATTTTCAAGGGTGAGATACTAGAGGGTGTTGTCCACAAGGTTTTAAAGCATGGAGTTTTCATGAGATGTGGTCCAATTGAGAATGTGTATCTCTCGAATGTGAAGATGCCTGATTACCGTTATGTTCCTGGTGAAAATGCATGCTTCATGAATGACAAAATGTCCAAGATTGGAAAAGATGTCACAGTTCGCTTTGTAGTGATAGGTACAAAGTGGATGGAAGCAGATAGGGAATTTCAGGCATTGGTCAGTTTGGAAGGAGATTATCTGGGACCAACTTCATCGCTTGATATCTAGCTGCATTTTCTGGTATCATGTTTTCTTACATTGTTATTTTCTTGGTGAGAGCAAACTCATTTTGTTGTGGGCCTGTCTTTTCTTCTTTCTGGTACAAAGGATGGAACCTATTAACCAAATTAATGTAGTGGGATTGATGGGATGTAGTCTGTGAATAGCGGATTTGTGCTCTATAATTTTGTATATTCCTACAGTTCCTTCCAACCATTGGTCTTTTCTAATCAGCTGAACACTGTCTACTTGATTTTCTTGCTTTCTTTACTTCATGACTTCTAACATTTATCTGTCAGAGTATTCGTTTGATAAAGCTTACAATTCGTGTAGCTTTGGCCTGCAGTGGAACAAAATTTATTGCCTTGGCTTCTGTAGTACATGGAAACGAGTTAAGGTGGCAAAGTTGCAATTATTTATTTGCATTAGCATATTGGTCAATATCTGCAGAAAGAGCTATAAATGAAGTTAGTTTCATGGATTAATGATAACTTTATATCCTATGAGAACTGTGATTTTCGGTTTTTGGGGATAACTAGGGAAATCAGCGTGTATACATGTGCATTTTGTGATTGGTTTGCAGAAAGCTCGGTCCTTTTATAATAAAGGGATTCGTTGATGGCTTTCGAGGGTTGTTGAATGTAATGTGCGATTGTAGACTTGTTTAAGGCTGTGTTATATGAAAATAATGTGGCTGTGACCATTTGTTGTAATTTTATGATGTACTTGTTTTGAAGTAGACAGCGGAAGCCATCTTTTATACTTTTGAATGGCTGACAAAGGAAGCTAAGGTTTTAATGCAAGAAATGTATACTAAGTAAAAATATAGACAACACAACACCTTCCTTAAAATAACAAATTTGAATAAAAAACATTTTATCTAGAATCGTCAGAATAAAAGGGAGTTCCCTTTATCTGGTATTAAAATACTATTACGTAATGATACACTTATAATAAATTGAATACACTTTTTATAATTTATTCTTTTTCATCATATTGTTCATTTTATTTAATATTTATTTTCGGTCAATTTATTTCGCTCTTAAATTATAAAATTTGCATTAGGTCTGAGCGGCATTCTTTTGAATAGTGATACACTTATAACAACTCTTTATAATACATTTCATATTCTCTTCTATATCCCTATCGTGTCAGTTGTCTTGGTTAATATTTTTCTTCTCTTATCGCTCTTCTAAAGTTAAGATGTATTTAGACAACATATGTCTAAATAACGTTATTCAAAAATATTATCATAATTACAAAGAAATATATTTCTCTAAACTTCAACTGTTCAATAACTACTTTATTCATATTTCTTTAATTTTGGTGCTCTCTACTTTTTACTAAAAAGTCAGCATATAGCGTGGGTAGGGTGGAATGTTTGTGGCATCAAATTTAAAATTTTAACAGTTAAATAACTCGACTTTTATTCTTATTTTTAATCATTTATTTATTTAATTTTAGTAACCTTTGCTTTTTACTAATAGTGTTTATGTACCGTATCTAGGGTAGAATACATGTATATCAAATTTACAATCATAGTTTTAAAAAAATAAATCTCAATTCTTAAGGTTAAATTTAAACAACTAAGAATAATTATTTTTTATTATATTTTAAACAATTTTTATTTATCATTTTTATATATTAAAATTGAAATTAACAAAATAGAAAAACGAAAGGGGCTCATTTAATTTTTTTGATTGCAGGGAATGTTCTTAAAATTCATTCAAACATTTACGAATCAATATAAGTTTTTTAAAAAATTTAAAGTAATTTTCATCATAACTTAAAAATTAAGAGGATATTTTATACCATTTTACAGGTGAAATAATAATATATATTAAATATATATATATATATATAATAAATAATAGATATTAATAATTTATTATAAAAATATATAAACATTTTTTAATTTTTAAGATATTAAAATAATTACAGCTGTTAATTTAAAACAAATATAAAATATGATCACCTTAATAAATATCGTGATTTAAACTATGTTAACGGATTTTCTTAACATCACTCTTCAAATATTTAGAAGATTTTGATGTTATTGTAAATTTTAATAATTAATCTGACATAGCAAATATTACGAAAATAAATCAATATTAAACTGTGTTGCGTAAATAGTTAAATAATGCAGACACACAGTATTTGTACACACAAAATCAAAATTCATTTCACCAAGTTCTTCCTTGTAGTTGTAGATAGGTGTGACCTGATGCTGGGAAGGAAATGGGTTTGAATAATAATCGTAAGCAGAGCGCGTTTTGTCTGAAATGGCCATGGGATGAAGCAAACCCTAATCCTAACCCTAAACTCAGCCCCTGCAAGTTTGAGGGTCCATGGGTATTCAAGTCTCTCCAAAGTATTGGAACAATTGCTCTGCATTTGGTGATTTCAGTTTCAAAGTCTTCAAGTCCTCAAAGCAACCTGACATGGAATAAGAAGAAGAAACTAAGTGGGGCGGAGCAAGCGGAGGCAGAGCAGAGAGCGTTTGCATCGGCTCTGGCGAGCGGGAAGGAGGCGACGGTGGTGGAGTTTTACTCGCCCAAGTGCAGGCTCTGCAATTCCTTGGTTAAGTTTGTTTCGGAGGTGGAGGCCAGAAACTCTCAATGGCTTAACATTGTCATGGCTGATGCTGAGAATCAGAATTGGCTACCTGAGGTACCTTCTGTTTATTTTATTCCATCAATTGGTATTTTCTTCGCCATTTGATTGATGTAATTTTGCTTTGCCATGTCCTTAGGCTTAAAGTAAAGCTATATCAGCTTCAGAATTTAGAGTTGCTACCAACAAAACCCCAATTAAAAAGTAGTATGTGTTCGTTAGTTGTGACAGTTAGTTAGAGAGGATGAGAGATGATTGGGTATACATAGTAGGAATTGAGATTACTATTAGTCTTGCATTTTGGAGCGGAAATTGGGAGGGAGAGTCAAGGTGTCCTGGGATACAGGGAAGATAGGGAGAGGATCGCACTTTTGTATCTTTCTGGATCTCAGTTCTGTCTCTGCTTGATATTCATCCATGGCTATATTACAATTAAGATTGTTTGTTCTTTTTTCTGCTCCAGTTCTATTAGTTTCTTTTTACTCACTCATTTCAGACTTGCCTATCTTCTTGAATTATTTATCCTTGAGAGACCTCATTGATTGATCCAGAATTATAATCTGATATTACCCTCAAGAAGTTTGTTTGTTACTCTGATTTCTGCGGTCAATACATTATTTGTAATAAGAAAAACATGCTCCTTACCTACTTAGTGGATCCACATCTTCACCTTTTAAATTCAGTGTCTATCTAGCCTTCCAGAATGTTTGTTTGGTCTGTGATCAAATTCTTGCATGTGGGTTACCACTCTGGAAAACAACCTGGACGTGATTAGTATACAACCAATTTATTATATAGACACTTGTCTTCCCTGATTGGGTCAGGTTGGACAAAAATGACAAACAGCAATGAAAATGGATAACTTCATATAAGCAGGATTGCTGTTCATTTTATCATTTTTTGTAATGTTCTTTGTTTTGTTAGTTCAGGTCTGGCTTCATATACACGGCTTAAATATATTAGTATATTGCTAGTGCCATTTGTCTGTGCTGGGGAAATTGGGTTTGCATGCCATTGGATTATGAAGGTTTTTGGTTGGGTATGTGTTGGGTCTAAGCCAATTGGACCCCCATTAAAGACATCAAAGAAAGAGGGGTAAAATGGGGAAGGGTGAATCAGGAGGGGGGGGGGGGAGGTAATATAGGAGGAGGAGGAGCAGAGGACAGTGGGCAGGAAATATCTGGGAGGTCATTGGGGTGTGGCTGCTGCCATAGGAAAGGTTCCATTTCGTTATTGTTATTTTTTCTGTTATTTCATCCTTCTTTTGTACTACCAGGGCATTCCTGTGTTAATTCCATAAATACACTCAGTTCCTATCAGTATGCTTCCTTGTTAACATTATTTTGTAAAAAGTTTTTCAATGTTTTGTTTTTTCAACTCAATTGTATAAAATAAATATCTAAATTTGTTTGCGAGCGAGAAACAGTTAAATGGGACCAGGAGGGCTTAGCAAAGCTAATATGATCATCATTCATGTTATCCTCAAGAGTAAGTATGCTGAACCACATTTGGACAGACATAAGCCAATAGGTTCAGGGTCTGTGTCTCCACTCTCCTGCACCAAGCCTTGTTTTTTCTTCTCTTTATGATGCAGACCTGTTTCTGAAATGTGATTGTTAAATATCTCTTTCAAGAAGTATTGCAATCTTGACTCTCCATTTGAATACTTTTTGGCTTTTTTTATTTTTTTGTTTATTCTTTCAGAATTACCTTTGCTAGCAAAGTCTGCAAATTTTCTTTATATTCCAGCTGCTGCTTAAATCTGCCTTAACCCTGTATCTTTCCTTGGATTATGTACAGCATCTATTATAACATATGCTACCTCCATATTTAACCTTTTCAACTGTCAGATTTATTATACCTTGGCCATTTCAATATTAATAAATTGACCAATGGGTAGTGCCCTCACTTTACCCAGACAGAGAGACCCACCTTAGGATCACACGTTTTAGCATAAGAGTGTGTTTGGATGAGATATTTCAAGTGAGTAATTCATTTTTTAAAAGAATTTACAATTTTATGGGTTAAAATGGATAATGAATTTTAAAAAAATTAAAATTCTAGGAATTTTAATAGGATTTTTAACAGACTAAAATAAAAAAAATTTGAAATCCTAACAAAAGAATGAGAATTTGGAATTGCTTTTCTTATTTATTGTGTTCCATTCATATTTTTATTTAGTTATGGTTAATTTATTAATTTAAATTTCGTATTTTAATTTAAGTTGTGTCAAATATAATGATAGATTTTTTTTAAATGTCAGTAATTTAATTACCCTATCCAAACAAAAATAAGAAAATTCAATTATTCTATCTAAACAAAATATTTTAAAATAATAAAAATTTAATTGATGTAATTTAAATTTCTTAAAATTTTTAATTCCCTCGTCATAACACAACCTAAAAGATCAAAACCTTACATTCTAGGGCCATCGCCATACATATGTCCTTTAATGCATTTGATAGGAACGTTACTCCATTTATTGTATCAATGTTAAACTGGAGATGTTGATTCTGGTAAGGAACATCAATTTTTTGGAGGGGTATCGGAAGAGCATCTTTTTTTAATTTGAGAATAAAATACATTGTCAATTAACAGTTTTGAAGCCTTTATCCTTTACTTGATGGAAACTGTGGAGTCGCTAATTTAGGATCCAATTAGAAGTAATTTCGCTTGCTATTTCTAGCAATGATTTTGAACTTGAAAGTAATTCAAGATATTACTTGACATTATTCTTGCATCCTTTGTCGAAATTGTGGTGCTGCTATCGGATAATACCTGAAGGATTATGTTGTATACGGATAATTAAATATATGTTATATATTTGTTTAATCTCCTCGGCAGAGTACCATTTATTCCTTATTACTTGATACTTATTTTAAAGTCTTCCTATTGCAGCTCCTTAATTATGATGTTAGCTATGTTCCCTGCTTCGTGCTTCTTGACAACAATGGAAGGGCCTTGGCAAAGACGGGTGTCCCAAATAGTCGTTTACATGTTATTGCGGGGCTCTCCCATCTTCTCAAAATGAAGCGGCCTCAACAAAATAATGGATGATGGTGTTGTGTATTGCATCAAAACCAATATTTATATTTCAAATTACATTTAAACAAACTTTTACTCGTCCTTCTTCTTTTTCTCATTTCTTTTATTCAGTAAAATATAACATTCGTATCTAAAAGTAAGCTTAGATTGAAAAAACTCATTGAGTGTAAGAAATTGTTAATGCTCCTGCTCCTAACATATCAGACCTAAATTGTAAAAAATAATAATATTAATATTTTTAAAATAAAAAAGTCAAAAGAAATTTTTGAAAAAATAGGTATATTTAACTTTAAAATAAAAATGAAAGAAGAAATATGGAGGTTAGTAATAATTAAATTTCCAAATAAAAATAAATGAAAAGGAAGCACAAAGAGTATGAAAACTTGTCTTCAAAATAAAAATACGACTTTTTTTATTTTATTTTCTAGTTTAATCAATGTATAACTTTGATGTTACCAGTCTTTTTCAAGTTAATTAAGTCTTTTTATTTTTTACATTAAGAAAATATGTTATTTTTCGTTCAAATATATAAGATATAAAATAATTTTACAAGTTTAAATGTGAGAAATTTATCATAAACTAGACAAATTTTGAATGATTTTATTAATTGTGAAATTAGGTAACAAGAAAAAAAAATGGAGATTTTTTTTTTATTTAGGGTGAAATTTAATATTTTATTTGGTGAATTTTAAGTAGAAAATATTTTATTACTTGTCTTAATTTGTAAAGATTGTGAGTAAAAAAAATGAAAATTTAAGTAAAAGAAAATAATGAGGCTGTATAATTTCAAAAATAGAAAGAGACGAATCGCCTCTAAAATAAATTGAAAGACTATAATCTCATATAGTTTAAGTTAAAGAATCCAAACATACAAATACAATTAACCAAAAATAATAAACATGAAGATTTATAAAGAAAATAATTTGAAAATATTTCAATAACTTTTATTTTTGTGTATTTTTTTGGTATAATTGAAAATTCGTAGTCAGAACTTTTTGTAGAAATATTTGAAAAATTCGTTTGGTCAAATTTAAAGACTCAAATCATGAAGTTATTGCAGTTCTACTATCGTCTAATAAAAATCACAAAATTTATAAATTGTTGCAGCTCAATTAAACTGACGACAAAATCAACAAATTAAGGAATCAATTTTTTAGGAGGGAGGGGAGGAATTTGAAATCAAGTAATTATTATTTCGGTAGTAATAGAAGGTTGAAGACAGGTAGAAAATCTCAAACGTGAACAAGAAATCTTGAGGACACATTACATCACTTTCATTCTTTTTTCATACAAAACAACAATACAAAGTTAACAAAGAGCCTTTTATAACAGCATACGTGATCTTACTCGGATCAACGATATCGATCACTCATTTGGCTACGTCACATAATTGGTACATAGAAGAGACAAAGATCTCACTGGAATTCAGAAAGCAAGTAGACAGACACAACATGCAACAAATTCTATGGAGGCATAAAATTAATGGCCACCATTTTAGTATTCTGACTATTCTCTGTGTGGCAACACTTGTAGCTGACAAAGACCTCCATAGTGCGGTGACACTCTGGGCACCCAATTATGTCTGGAATTTTTCCTGCAGCGTTAGGAATTTGTAGGAGAGAGCAACGATGAATGTGAGGTTACCTTGTCATGATGTTCTATAAAGGATATCTCAAAGCCCTTATTGATCACTTGCTCTTTCCATTTGTCAAATTCTGCCACCACCTTCAAAATGGTGGTTCCATGACCAGTGATCACCACAGTATAGCCCTTGCTAAGAAGTGCCCATCCATTCTCATTCTCATAAGAAAGCATCTTTTGCAGCTCTTTGGTTACAGAGTTAGTCTTCATGTTCATCTTGGTAACAAACAAATTCTCTATACCCCTCCAAAAGCGGCTAATAACACTTTGTTGTTCCAACTCCAAGCAACACAACTCAATCGAAATCTTTGCCTCCTTAAGAGTGACATCATTTGCAAAGGCACCCGCATATTTATTGAATTGTTGAATCCATTCCTTATCCTTTCCTCCATAAAAGAAGATATGCTTTTGCTCCTTCATCTTTTACAAAGGAAACATTAAATGGATTAGTCGCAATTTGAACATGTCGCCAACCAATTTTTCAACTATATGAACATGTAATAGTCATTTGCATGTGAAAAATTATACTCACCCATGTGGTTATTTGTGGGTTAATGTTTGCAACGAGTGACTCAATCCAACTTGCTTCTTGGGTCAGTGTTGCTTCAATGGATTGAGTGAAAGGGAAGGCATCCATTCCCCAAACTTGAATCATGGGGAATGCATTCGAATGTAGAATCTTTCCTTGGGGATTCATTGACACGAGGATAGGCTTTTTCTTGAATTGCCATTCCTTCTTTATGAATCTCAAGCATTTTATGGGTGCAAAATGTTGCAATATGTACCAAGGCATCTTAGACTTCAAAGATTCAAATTTCTTCCGTAATTGATCATTCCATTCTTCCACAACAGGAACCCACATAATTGTATATTGGTTTTCTGATTTCGTTTTATCATAAACAGGTTTCAAAACAGAAATTTCTTCTAGGGTGACATCTAGGGTTGAAATGAACAGAAACACATTCTTGTTTTTCAGCACTTCAATACTAACCTGTGCACAAAACATGTCTAATATAAGCTCGTTAATCTTTTTGCCAACAAGGGTATCCAAAACTTTCTATTAGGAAAAAAAATAGAATTTTCAAGTTGAACTACATTCTACAAAATTAGCATTATGATTCATATTTGTTTCATTCGCTAGTGTAATTTCACCTGTTTATTTTTCAGATTTCTATTGATTAAATTATGTTTTAAAAACAAGAAACATGTTTCCTTTGAAGCACACCCGAAAAAATATAAATTAGAAGCAAGAAAATACTCTTTCACACAGGTACGCCCTCACAAAAATACACAACAAATTATTTATGTAATATATTAGAAAAGATTATACTAACCTGTTTTTTAGTAGCGCCGTTATAAATCGGTGTTTTAGGAGTGTCTCTACCAAAAATCAGCATCTTAAACACCTCCATAAATACAGTAGGGGTTTGAAGGAATTTCCTGAGTCTCTTGAAGTATTCTGCTTCCTCTGAGAAATTAAATGATTTTCTTAGCTCCATTCATAAAATTAATGACTTTTACATTCCAATGCTATTTCAATAGGAGAAGAAAATACTCACATTTGAGGTTGACAAAATAGAAAACTAAAGAAGACAAAAGCTCTCTATATGGCTAATTACCGATTTGCTGGTTGCATAGTGACATTTGTTTCCTCAATTTGCTTAGTATGATGTTAATCTTTTGACCAAATTGAGATAATTCCTGTCTTTGCTCCCTGAAATTATAGAACAATATATTGCAAGTGACTATTTAGACATTTAATGAACATATTATATTGCAAATTATGAACAAGTTTCATTAATAGCCTGAACATACGAATCAGTTGTGAGGCAATCAATCTGAGTAACAATTGCTACAATGGTGATGATAGCCCAGTAGACATCAATTGGGATTTGTTCTAAGGCAGGTACTAAATCTGGCACATCCTCCATGTCATAGGAGGTAAACTTTTCCAACTCAAAGATTACTTCAATTAATTGACAAGTGGCCTTGATGAGATTGTTGAGCTCCAAAATGGCATTGCGGTGTTTTCCCAGTGCTGAGAGCTTGGTGAGCACAGGAACACGCTTGATAATGGCTAATGATTTGGCAAGTGGGTCTGTTGGCTGATGCAGAGAGAGGAACCAGAACTCCCCATATTCAAGAGCAAAAGCTGCAAGAGTGAGCACTGCTTTTGCTTCCCAGGAATAGCTTGATAGCTTGTTCAGGATTGCTAGTGTGGTCTTGTGAGCAACTTCCTCACCTGGAGGCTTGCATGACATCTGCCATCATCATACAATCAAGCTCCTTTTGATTACATTTCTTATAATTAAAGAACTCCGACATAAGCTAAAGTTGAATAATTTATATTACTTTTATGCAAAACTCATCGATAAAATTTAAACCTTTGCTTTAAGGAGATCTAAATGCCAAAGTTAACTTACTCCTAAAATTAATTAAAATATAAATTCATATGTGCATTCATTTAACTTCTATAAATGAAATAAAATAACTATGACCTCAGAAGATATTTCCTTCAAAGTACCCAATGGTGAGGTGAAGTTAGCTTGGGGAATCTTGTCATACATATGCTCCAGGCTTCCTTGATTTCCCTGTAAGTCACCAATATTTATTAATTTGTTTATCACAAGCCACCGACATTTACAGAGCTAAAGAAATCAACGAACATCAAGTTGGCAAAATTCCAAATCAAATGTATAAAATTAGCCATAAAAAAGAGTGAAGTCCAGAGGAATATATATACTTGCACAGCATTGTCAACAATATGTGTTGAATGCTTAATGATGTTTTCCGCAAGGATGAAAAGGGCGGTGACATCAAGGTTGGTGTCACTGTGGACGTGGGTTGAATAAATCTCTTCCAAAATGTGCTCATCGGACATTGTTAATGGGTTATGGTGACTGTCATCAAGACTAAGAACTGATTCCACAAGGTTGGCCATAACTCTTTCGTTTATGATGGTAAATGAAGGGGAAGAAGATTTTTGGTGCATTATGTGGTAGCTTCAATGCCTTATTTATAGCCTTTAGGGCTTGCATGACCCTGTCTGTGATGTGTTGACTTCACGTTAAGATTCGTGCCGGATCGATCCTACATTGTTTTTCTTTTAGTAAAACAAAAATTAGGTACTTACACGCCGTTGACAAATTTTTAAATTGGTAAACGCTCCCCGTTAAAATTTTAAGTGTATCTAATTTTTTTGTAAGTTTAAATCATTTTATGTATAATTTTTTAAATAAGATTTTATTTTTAAAATATTTTTACAAATTAATTTCAATATAAAAATAATTTATATTACTTTCATTTTAATGAAGAAAAAATTTATAAGCAAAGTGTAACACCTAACGTAAGTCACTAAGTCCTACTTCCTA